GTTCATGCCACAAATAAACCTCATGAAAAATCAGATTAGAAAATTGTGTACTTCCTTGACAATTTAACTGACCTACCTTCTTCCTTTTCTTTGGCATTCCCTATTCTACATCGCCATGTTTCCATCCCATGATGCCTCACACTGTACAGTAGCATCCCACGTTAACCCTAAGACAGCTGACAACTCATGGTTGACAGACCTTCAAGGTGATTATCATGATTTTCAAGCCAAAATCAAAACCTTTACTGTCCTTTCATACAGATCAAATCAAAGTCTTTTCACTTTTTATATTAGTTTAATCTGTATGTCTAAGACAAATTTAAAATTGGAGATTTTTCATGGCTGAATATTCAAATTAAATTAAATTAAATTAATTTTGATTTCAAGTTTAAAGATTGGTGTCAGGTTTGACAGTAAAATATTTTTTTACTTTTGACTAGAAGGACTATCTCCATCCCAAGCTCTATGTTGTACCAACACATAGTGACACCTACTTGTTCACCTTAAGGGAAGGTGGGGTAGCCAAGTGGTTAAAGCGTTCGCTTGTTATGCTGAAGGCCTGAGTTTGATTCCCCATATGGGTAAATGTGATATCCATGAAGCCTATTTCTGGTGTCCATGATATTGCTTGAATATTGATAAAGGCAGTGTAAAACCTGACTCACTAACTCACTGTACACCATGTACCATAAAGAGTGGATGACAGCAGGGATGACGCTGTGAGGCCAATCAGCTTACTGTCAGTCGTTGGGAGGCCATTATCCCCCAGAACATTAGAGAATAACACTACCAGATTGATTATTGGAAATATTGACCTGATTTATCAGGATAGGAACAGCTTGAAAACAATCATGAAATATGAGGACCGTATCTGGAATACCGGATATCTGACTTTGTGCATGAATCAAGTCCACACAATGAACTTCATTGTACACAAGCTAAATAAAAACCTTCCTAATGACAATCATGTTATTCATTCAAATTTTTCATTATCTAATTACAGAAGGACTATCTGGAGCCTTCACCACTCATGACAATAATATCAGCTTTGCCAAGTCATTCAATGAGATACGTGTTATATTTCATCATGTTGAAAATGTGTTCAATATCCGGTATACATTACAAGTATTTGTTTGAAAATCAGCATCCCTGCTCTTATATATCCACACCATTATCACCATGATACAGTAAGGGGGGGTCTTTCCTCATCTTCTCCCCAACCCCACTTTTGAATACTTACTGAGGTCAGAGTTGGGTCATCATATACATTTGGAAAACACCCTATATTTTCACATAATGCAAGTTTCCACATGTTTTGATGTTATCAACATATGACAAAATTCATTTTTATAAATGCCCATGATATCATCTCTATCTGACAAGTAGAAGAACAACATTGAGAGCTTCCAACCCCAAGAGAGAAAAAACCTGAGATGCTGAGGTCCAAGGGCCCCATCCAAGAGCACATAATTGCAAATTCCCTTCTAAAACAAGACACTGAAAAAGGCAAATGCAGACCAATCTGCGTGATTGTAACTGGTCAAAATGTGCATTTTTGTCTGAACCCAGTTTGGCATGAGAGTTATCAGTTTTGTCGAGAGAGCGTGAAATGAGTAATAAAGATGTGAGCCTCAATCCAAAGGCGTGAGAGTTTGCAGGTATGCAACATGATTCTCCAGCTGGTTGCTATGGCTGGGTATTATGACATAATACTACATAGCAGAGGATGCAAGTGATAGGATAGCTGCTGCTATGGTCAAAGTTGACAGTTTATGTAAACAGCTTCTTTACTATACTATAATAACAACGTTTCAGTATAAAACCTTCTACCTTTGTCAAGCAACACTGAATAATGTGAAAGTAACTAAAAGCACAAAAGAGGTGTGAAAGAGTTTATGCATGACTTGCCAATTATATCTCATCTACTTGATATAGCGTGATCAGTCTAACTACCCTGCAGCAGTTACAGTCCGTTTGAGTCAGAAACGGACCAATGAATTGCAAATTTTATCATTGTACAAAATTGCCACATAAATATAAATAGTACACATGTTTATCATTTACTAATACCCAACAGCTTTCTTATATTTGAAAAAGCTTTAGGAGTATCAGCAAGAGTACTGACAAATGTTCTGGAACACAAACATTGTGAGGGTGATGCGAAGCACCAGGGGTCGTGTCAAAATCACACAAATTAAAACATTTGGACAACTTTCAAAAGAACCTTGTAAGGCAGTCTATCAACAAGCTCTATTCTGAAAACAAATACATGTCGCTGACAATTTTCAAAAAGCATTTGAAGCAAGAACACAACCTCAGAGTATCAAAGTACACACTCTGGCGATTCTTACACTCTTTTGGGTATCGTTATAAGAAAATTTCGGGGGAGAATAGGTCAGTACCCTGAGAACGCCCTGATATCGTTAAACTTGAGAAATAATTTTTCAGGGTTATAAAGAAGAAGCGAGGAAGGGTTCGAGCCAGTGTAATGGGCCGAGACCTGGGTCAATGCCTGCGCACACTGCCAGCAGTCAGTGGGTACCGATGGGGGTGATAAGGGTCACGAGAAAGCTGCCTCTAGGGAAAGCAGAGAGACTAATCATTCTCCATGCTGGTTGCTCCAGCAAAGGCTTTCTCCCAGGTTGCGACTTGGTATTCAGGGCAAAGTCCATAGATAACAGAGACTACCATTCCGAGATGAATGGTGCGGTTTTCCTCGATTGGGTTAAAAACAAGTTGGTACCAGCTCTACCAGAGAAGTCTTTTATCGCAATGAACAATACCCCATACCACAGCGTGCAGGACCCCGACAGTAAAGCCCAGACATCGACCAGTCGAAAAGGTGATATGATATCATGGCTCGACAAATTTTAGATCGCACGGCCTTCAAAGGCAACGAAGCCTCAGCTATATGAGATCATAAAAACCCACAAAGGTGAACCTTTCTACAAAGTTGACAGTGACATAAAAAGTAAGGGTCACGATATTCTGCGACTTCCACCCTATCACTGTGACCTTAACCCCATTGAAATGATATGGGGTATTGTCAAAGGAGATGTTGCCAGATCAAACACAACGTTTAGATAATGTGACGTAGAGGTTTTGGTTAAGGAATCCCTTAACAAAATCACGACTGAAACTTGGCAAAACTGTCAACAAGGTAGCTAACGTCATTGAACAAGGTTACTGGTCTCGGGATGGCTTACAACAGGCAACTGTGGCACCACTTGTCATCCCTTTAAGTCGTGACTATGACACTACGACAGACGAGGAACCGACAAGTCTCCCGGAATAGATTTTGAGATGTCCCCTGCCATGACTGGCTGTTCCGTTTCTGCAGTTTCAATCCGCCTCGACAGATAACAACTTTTGCGTTTTCAATGATGATAGTTTCTTAAACAATTTTTTTGGTGGAGTCCGGAAATTGTTTTGTTTTCATTAAAATATTCTTACAAGCATTTATAAATAATTTATAAATAAACATTTTCATAATCATGACAAATAAAGACAGGATTTGTTTCAGTTTTGTTCACATTTGTAACTGTGATTCCAAATAAAAGTAATAATGAAATATAAGTAAAAACATATTTTTCAATCAAGTGACAAATCAAATCAATATTCAGCATGTTTACCCACACCATCAAAACTATCTCCAGTCCCAAGGGAGACAACTCCTCCTATGTCATTGTTTTATTGTTGAATCAATCAAGACAGTGTAAAAGAAGCAGTGTACTTTGTGTCTGTTTTTGACAATTCAAGAAAAATTTGTTATTACACTGGAAAACTGTGCACATTTTTTCCATTCTGTAGTCATATCCATCTGAACAATATTGCAGCAAGATCCTAGATCCAAACAACAGGGTATGTACAACAGACATCAGTACAACATCCAATTTTCTGTATGGTTTCTTGAGATGTCATTCACTGGAATGTCTGGTCCAGACTGGATTACTTATTCATACTTGAGGTGTAACCCATGAAAATCCGGGTTAGAGCTGGTCTTCAGCAACACATCTTGTAAAATTTGATTAACGGGATCGGATGGTAAGGCTCAGCTGACTTGGTTGACATCATCGTATCCCAGTTGTGTAGGTTGATGCTCATGCTGTTGATCACTGGATTGTCTGGGCAGATTATTTACAGACCACCAACCATATAGCTGGAATAATTCTGGGTGCAGCGTTACAACCAGCCAACCAATTCACGGTGTAGAGACAATCAACTGCCTCTGTCCTTGGCAACCAATGTTGTTCGTAAGGTGATCAAGTGTTCAGGTTTGTTAACTTGGTTGATACATTTATCATATCCCCATCCATAGATCAAAGCTCATGACGTCATCCATTGGATTGTTAGGTCCAGACTTTAATACAGTCAAATCCCGACGAGTCGAATCGCTGGGGGCCAAGTAATAAATTCGACTTATCGATGTATTCGAGACATAGGTATGTCTATGAGGGTAGAAAAAAAGATGATCCAGTCCTAATTCCTCCACCTAAGCATTTGTTTACCTAATGATTTCCCTATCACTAATAGGGGCACCTTATCAGTTCCAGTCTGATTAGCACAGACAGTGATTTCCGTAAAATCACTAATCTGCCTTTTGAACTCACCCGTCAATGGCGGAAAGGTGTGAGCTGCGCTGGTTTGTTAATTGGATCAGTTTGCTACACCAATCAACTTCTCATTGACTGACCTCGGCTTATGTATACAAGACTGCTGTTGTTTGAATCTCATGGGACCAAATTTCCTCCTCGAGTCATCGTGTGTATTTATGAGACGAATTCATGTAACCGGAAATCAAATGATGACAACTATAACAGGGAATGGTCGGGACCGACAGGTACTTCGAGTTATGCATAATATTCGAGACACCGGCATTCGACTCATCGGGATTTGACTGTACTTACAGACCGCTGTCATAACACTGAAATTTGGTTGAGTTGGTTGTTTAACAACAACAACACACAAAATAAGAAGAAAAAGAGAGACAATCAGCTCACCTCTACTGCTTCCTTCATGTCGAACTGTGGCACTGGGGTTTTCATTGAGCTGGAGACCTTTCTCTCGCTCTCCGCGTACGTTGATGCATGGATGTCGGCGTTCGCTGCCTCCATCTGGTCGATGTCCTCGGTCAGGTACTCCTGTCATACACAGTCGTTACTGTCACCATATTCTTAATGTCTGGGGCATATTTATTTTTACTGTTCTTTTATCATCATGTTACCATATAAGTGAGTGAGTTGGGTTTTACGCCGCTTTCAGCAATATTCCAGCAATATCAAGGCAGGGAACACCAGAAATGGGCTTCACGCATTGTACCCATGTGGGGAATCGAACCAGGGCCTTCAGCGTGACGAACGAACGCTTTAACCACTAGGCTACCCCACTGCCCCCTGTTACCATATGAAGGAAAACCATTAGGACTGTACTGTATTAACAGTAATACGCTTTTCAAATGATAAAAACTGCAATACTTTTTCTCTGTTCTGGTATAGTTGGTAACAGAAATATAGCAAGGTGCATAATCATTAGTAATGTTTAACCTTAACTCAAAACAAAATTTAATTAACAAAAGACGTTTCCCTTCAATTTGGGGACAAAAAGGGCGCAAATGGAGAAGTAATTATTTTCCATATGATGTTATATTACCTGTTCCCATGACTACAAAATGGAGGTGACTGACCATCCTGATAACATCTACTGACGACAAGCACTGTCAAACACCCAAATATTACAATATGTATTGCAATAAAAATCCAGTACTGTAATAAATGGAAAGTAGAGAGTTTGGGATTCAAACCCAGAATCAACACAAAGTTTACTGTGTTCTGCATTTGAGGATACCCCTCCGCTGATGCTGGGAACACTGACATACCTGTTGTTTCTTGAGAGCATAATGCACAGCACTCTTCACCAGTAAGTCAGTAATAACCTCTTCCTGGGACTTCCTATCCAGGCTTGCATAACTCACTTCTCGCTGTTCTCCATTGCGGGTGCGGATGACCTTAATAGAGGTCGGAGGTCGTGACCTCATGGACTCCCCTTCAAGTTCACGGTCCTGATACTGATCAACTGTGGGGAAAAGTTAATCATTTAAGTTACAATCCCAATCAATATTTATCTTTAGTTATCCAGAATATTCAATCTCTGTTACACAGGAAACATGAAGATCCATGTTAGAATTGTTCCTCAGCAACCCATGCTTGTTGTAAAAGGCGACTAACGATATAGGGTGGTCGGGCTCGCTGACTTGGTTGACACATGTCATAGTATCCCTACTGTATAGATTGATGCTCATGATGCTGATCACTGGATTGTCTGGTCCAGACCAAATTATTTACAGACCACTGCCATATACGGAGAACAGAAGGTCAGTGGTTCAATTCCCAGCTGCCCAGTTTCAAGAAACATTAAAAGATGGCACTTCTTGTTACCTTGCCTGATGCTCAGCGTTAAGGAATATAACTAGGACTGTTATAGTCGACAAACAGGTTCAGAGAATTAATAAAAGCAGAAATACCCTACAAAAAACACTGCATAAAGGAGGAGGATACACATCTTCTTTCAGATTTCCTTCTTGTACTTACTCATATCGTCCAGCTCTGGCACCGCCCTGTAGAAGGTATACCCAGACAGGCTGCCGGGGGATATCAGCATGTTCCTCATCAGCCGATATGGCGGGGGATAGTGTGACAAGTCTTCATGGAATATCCGGCGCTTTAGATGTGGAATCACGAAGTTATATTGGAAAAGGGATCGCTCTGTTATGTAACCTGGAAGACAAAACAGTCGTGATTTGATGAATGTCATATGGCAGTGGTGTGAAGCCATTAGTCCTTAAGCTTGACCAAGGCATAACAATAATCCTTATCCAAAACCCAGGCAGGCCTATGTTCCTTATCCTAGACATCACAGACCTAAACTCATTATCCCTAACCAATATTAACTTCTAATCCTTATCTTTTACCAACATGTCTTTTGTATAAAAGATAGACCTAAATATCTCCGCACAAGCATATAGTAACTATTTAGACTGACATGGATGTGTAATCCATGTCCTTGATCCTCATAGAACTATTGTCCGTATCTCTGACTGATATATTCCTTCAGTCCTTACCCTTGGCTCAGACAGAACTATAGTTATTATTCTTGGCTGACATAGCCCTTCAATCCTTACCCTTGACCCAGGCGAAACTACAGTCCTTACCCTTGACTGACATAGCCCTTCAATCCTTATCCTTGACCCAGGCAGAAACTAAAGTCCTTATCCTTGGCTGATATAGCCCTTCAATCCTTACCCTTGACCCAGGCAGAAGCTACAGTCCTTATCCTTGGCTGATATATCCCTTCAATCCTTACCCTTGACCCAGGCAGAACTACAGTCCTTACCCTTGACTGATATAGCCCTTCAATCCTTATCCTTGACCCAGGCAGAAACTACAGTCCTTATCCTTGGCTGATATAGCCCTTCAATCCTTACCCTTGACCCAGGCAGAACTATAGTCCTTACCCTTGGCTGATATAGCCCTTCAATCTTTACCCTTGACCCAGGCAGAACTATAGTCCTTACCCTTGGTTGATATAGCCCTTCAATCCTCACCCTTGGCACAGGCAGAAACTAAAGTCCTTACCCTTGGCTGATATAGCCCTTCAATCCTTATCCTTGACCCAGGCAGAAACTAAAGTCCTTATCCTTGGCTGATATAGCCCTTCAATCCTTACCCTTGACCCAGGCAGAACTATAGTCCTTACCCTTGGCTGATATAGCCCTTCAATCCTTACCCTTGACACAGGCAGAAACTACAGTCCTTACCCTTGGCTGATATATCCCTTCAATCCTTACCCTTGACCCAGGCAGAAACTAAAGTCCTTATCCTTCGCTGATATAGCCCTTCAATCCTTACCCTTGACCCAGGCAGAAACTACAGTCCTTATCCTTGGCTGATATAGCCCTTCAATCCTTACCCTTGACCCAGGCGGAAACTAAAGTCCTTATCCTTGGCTGATATAGCCCTTCAATCCTTACCCTTGACCCAGGCAGAAACTACAGTCCTTACCCTTGGCTGATATGGCCCTTCAATCTTTACCCTTGACCCAGGCAGAAACTACAGTCCTTACCCTTGGCTGATATGGCCCTTCAATCCTTACCCTTGACCCAGGCAGAAACTATAGTCCTTACCCTTGGCTGACATAGCCCTTCAATCCTTATCCTTGAACCCGGACAGAACTATTGTCCTTATCCTGGACCCAGTTAGACACGTCATTATCATAGACCCAGGCAGAGCTACAGTTCCTACAAACATCCTAACTAAACATGCCAGACCATTAGTCAAGGTATATACTAAGCCCATTGTCATGTCTCAGCAAACAAAGACAAATAAGAACTATTCCCTACAATTTAATAGGAACCATATACATTTTGCTAGTTGAGTATATGAAACAGAAGCTCACCTTTATTAATCACTGTTTCTAACACACTGTCGTCCCAGCTTTTGGTCCATGTTGCTAGGTAACGCTTTGCTGAAAACCCTGGTCGAATTTGTCGGTAATGTTTCTCTCGCTTTCGATGCAAAAATTTCAAGTATACACTGTTATTGTCCTGGAAAGAAAGACAACAAATCTAATATCAGTAATTTGACAATATTTCCTACAAATTATTTGGTGTAGCAAGGATGAAATGGAAGTATCGGTACCTGGGGGCAACAGATCAGGAACCAATATCAACAGAATTCCTGATAACAACTGGTATGTGATATATGATTGGGGTGTGTGATGTACTAATCAGATTGTAGAGTTTTACACAAACATGCACCTCACTTGCACAAACACAGTATTTGTTTGGGGTATCTTTTTAACAGAAGATGTGAACTTCTACAACAATTCTGATAGTTCAAGTTACGGTATATTATGATGAACACTATTGTTATAACATGGTTGTTTGTTTGTTGTTTAACACCACACTCAACAATATTCCTGCTGTATGGCAGCAGTCTGTAAATATTGAATCTGGACTAGACAATCCAATGATCAGCAGCATGAGCATTGATCTATGCAGTGCTGATACGATGACATGTGTCAACCAAGTCAGCGAGCCTGACCACATGATCCCAGTAGTCGCCTCTTACGACAAGCATGGGTTACTGAAGACCAATTCATGGGTGTTGTGAAATTCATTTCAGAAGAAACATGACCCCTAACTTATCTGTAACATTGCACAAAATTTCTGTCAGAATGACAGTTATTTGATTGGAAATTATTTCTACCTGGCTCAAAACAAAGCCATGGTTGCAAATAGTATTTATGAAAACAAGAAGTTGATATAAAAGTGAGGGTACCTGAGGATGCCACTAAGTTTTGCCACTCAATATAATAACTTTGGGAAGGATCAAAAGTCCTTAACCAACAAATAAATGGTTCTATTAAAAACTTATAAACATTTCCTATTTAAACTGAAAGCTTTCCTTCTTGTTAATGTCTTTTGTGCAAATATTTCACCCTTTTCACCCTAAATATTGTATTTGTTTATTGTTTTACCAACGATACCAACATTGCAGCTATAATACCACCTGAAAACAGTCAGTGAGTGAGTGAGTTTAGTTTTATGCCGCACTCAGCAATATTCCAGCTATATGGCAGCGGTCTGTAAATAATAGAGTCTAGACCAGACAATCCAGTGATCAACATGAGCATCGATCTGCGCAATTGGGAACCGATGACATGTGTCAACCAAGTCAGCAAGCCTGACCACCAGATCCCGTTAGTCGCCTCTTACGACAAGCATGGGTTGCTGAAGATCAATATTCTAACCCGGACCTTCATTGGTCACCTGAATATAGGGCTCAGTTATCAGATATAGAGTGGAAAAGCCAATGGCTGCCAGCAACAAATCAAACCAGTAAAGCCAGAACTGAGAGCTGGCACGTCTTACCCTTCAAGATGCTATCTTCCTAATCTCAGTCACCTACGTCATCACCATTTTGAGTGATCCAGTATTTACTCATGTTATCATCCAGACTGGGTAATGACAGCATTCATGGAGATAGTTTTTACTTGTTTGTGTATTTTAGGGCTAACTATAAGCAATATCATATATAATTAAACAATTGTGCAACATTGACTGCAGCAGAGTTCATGTATTTGGGGAATTCTGAAGTCCCTTCATTATATAGCAATTTAGTATACTGTATTAAAAGTATTAAAAGTCAAAATTAATTGGATAACAGTGAGTTACTTGTTTTTGTATTTATTTAGATATGCTTCTTATATGATCTTTAATGCATCACAGTGTTTTAGTGATACTTTTTACTCCTTCATCAGATTAACCATTCACTTCTAAAAGAAGTTCTTATCCATAAAATGTGTCATGTATTCATGTTCTTCCAACCTCTAAATGCTAACCTAAGACATTATATGGATCTCAGTGACTACAAACACAAATGATCGAGGTGTACCCTTTACATAACTGCCAGAGCTGTCACTGGATAATACACAACCTGGTTGGTTGGTTGGGATGTTGTTTTACACTGCACTCAGCAATATTCCAGCTAAATGTCTGTAAATAATTGGTACGGACCAGACAATCCAGTGATCAACAGCATGAGCATCAATCCACGCAAGTGGGCTACGATGACGTGTCAACCCAATCAGCGAGCCTGACCATCCAATCTCATTAGTCACCTCTTATGACCAGCATGGGTTGCTGAAGACCAATTCTAAATCTTCACGGGTTTACACAACATGTAATAATCATTATAAATAAGGAGAAGCAAGTACTCACATGATTACCATAAGACAAAATACTCTTTGCTAAATCGTCAACTGTTCGTAAATCCAGGGCTCCGTCTGAACTTTTCGACACAGGTTTAGTCTGTTGGCGTTCAGTTTGTTCCCTTTCGCTGTCACGTAACGCCAGATCTTCCGAAAACAGCAACAGAGCTCCTTTCCTGGTCGTGAAAGTTTTCGGAAGATGAATTTCTTGGTGATCACGTGATTCTCGGGAGGACAGTTCGGGCATGTCTTGCAGCATGGTGTACTTGTGTTTGATTGGTGGGAAGTAGTAGCGTTGTGGCACATCGCGGAAGTTGTAGTAGTCCTGGAAACAAAGGGCATAGTGTTACGATAAAGTATACGTAGAGGGTAATGTCCGAGTAACTCTCCATTCCTTAAAAATATTATTTTTAAGGAATGGAGAGTTACGAGGATATTACCCTACTTAAATTACATTCGAAGTATTGGGAATATTTCTGTTATCAAAATTAAATGTCAAAATGACAAAATGAAGGTGTTATTTTGAAACTGGTACACATCGCTCCATTCCTGAAAAGTAATGGAGTGAACAGACAATGGAATGACGTCACAAATGTAATTTAAAATATGCGTAATGTGTCGTGAGACATACATGATTTTATAAGCTGAATGGGTTTGTACACCGAAGGTTATGAGGTGCACACAGACTTTCAGCTCCTAAAATCCCCCAAATCACTATTGACACATATATCGTTACTAGAAATATTTCTACCACTTAGATCCATCTTGTGATTACATCAGACACTGTTTGGGAACTTATCGAACAAGACTAAAGTTATTTCTTATGTTTGTTTGTTGTTTAACACCAAATACATGACAGCGTTCTGTAAATATTCAAGTCTGGACCAGACAATCCAGTGATTAACATCATGAGCATAGATCTACGCAAACAAGTCAGCGAGCCTGACCACCTGACCCCGTTAGTCACCTCTCACGACAAGCATGTGTTGCTGAAGATCAATGGTAACCCGGATCTTCACAACAAACATTATGCTGCCAATCAACTTGTGTAAATGTTTACAAGACAGTAACTATGCACTCAGACTGGTTTGGATAATTTAGTTTAATTTTATTCTTACACATTTGTATTGATTTCGGGGTGGTGGGTTAGCCTAATGGTTAAAGCGTTCGCTCATCATGCTGAAGACCCAGGTTTGATTCTCCACATGGGTACAATGTGAAGCCCATTTCTGATGTCCCCTTCGCGATATTGCCGGAATATTGTTAAAAGTGGCGTAAAAACCGAACCTCACTCACTCATTCACTGTATTCATTTCTGTTCACAAGTGTTCTAAATTTAGTTAATGGAATTCACCATTCAATTCCTATTTCAATCCTCTGCAATACAAATCTTTTCACAGAGGCAGCAGTAATGATGTGAGTTTGATTTGATTATCATTTTAACAGAATGTCAGTTATACCATGAACAGTCAGTTTGATGTGGAAGGAGGAAATCCCAAAGTAGCAGACACCCCTTTGTTGAATGAGTGAGTGAATATGGTTGTACGCTGCTCTTAGCAATTTTCTAGCAGTATCATGGCGGGGGACACCAGAAATGTTCTCCGCACATTGTACTCATGTTGGGAATTGAACCCGGTGTTGCAGCCCAGAATAACCCCCCACCAGATTATACCCCAGGGTAAACTATAGGCTAGCCCGGTTTATACCCCGGGGGTATATTCTGGACCAGGCCAAAGTATACCCCTCCAGCCCAGACTATACCCCTAACAAATTAAGTTGACAATTCACTCAATATAAGTGTGTGACTCGGGCAATGGTCTTGGTGTCATTTAAAGGAATTTGTAGATGCATTTCATTTACATTACTGCATAATACAAAATTTATTAAGTATTTGTTGAGTGCCTCTCTGCAATATGATATTTTCGACTTTGGGTCTTCGGCATGATGAGCAAACGCTTTAACCACTAGGCTACCCGCCGCTTCCCTTTTGTTGACAGTAACGAACATGGATATGGTGCCGACAACCATCGAAACATTCTGAAATGTTAACCTACAATCTTTGGTTTGCAAATCAGCATAACAAACTGTAGCGAACTTACAACCCATGCTTGTTGTTAGGGGCAACTTAAGGAATCTGGTGGTTAGACTCATTGACTTGGTTGATGCATGTTATCAACTGCGTACAATCAATACACATAATGTCCATCACCGAATTGTCTGGTCCAGATTATTTACAACCACTGTCATATTGCTGGAATATTTTTATAGGCTCGCTGATGTGTCATTGTATCCCTGTTCACAGATTGATACTCATGCTGCTGATCACTGGATTGTCTGGTCGATTAATTACACACTGCCACGATACTTCGAGTGCGGTGTTAAACAACAAACAAACAAAAACAAATGAATATTGTTCAACGTAGCTTTAAAAACAAACTAGGGAAATTATTGGATGTTATTGTGACCTCACAGGAGTGAGTGAGTGAGTGAGTTTGGTTTTACGCCTCTTTTAACAATATTCCAGCAATATCACGGCAGGGGACACCAGAAATGGGCTTCAAACATTGTACCCATGTGGGGAATCGAACCCGGGTCTTCGGCGTGATGAGCGAACGCTTTGACCACTAGACTACCCCACCGCCCCTGTCCTCACAGGAACTTTGTCTAAACAAAATTCTGCTTTAATCAACAATGTTCTGAAGATCTCCCTCAATCTGACAGGTGATAGATAAACGAAATCATTGTCATGACAACCCATGACCCCCAAATCCCCACACTTGACAATCTCGATAAAGATAAATTTTAATCCTCAAGCTGTCTCCTTGAAATCTTCATTTATCCAAAACCACCTGAAGTCATGATCCCAGCTTCAACATTGTAACTTTGTCACTGTGCAATAAATGATTAACCAGCTGACAGGTCAGTATGTTAAAGCACGATAACATGCGATACGACAATCAGCCAGTCTCGCATATTTCCACCCTGCAAATGTGCCTCCTCCCACGAAGTAATTATCGTCAGCGAAGAAAAGAATTAATCATGCCTATAATTAGTCTTTGGCTTGCCTTATATTGTCTCACGTTACCAGTTCTGTTGTAATGTTAGCTATAGTAGTATTTAATAGTCACCTCGTTCTGTATTGCACTGTTATAATTACTGGGTCATTTACCCATAAAAGCAAGGTCTCATTGTGCCTGCCTTAAGCTGTTGTGCGATATATCTAGTTATAAAGGTTTGGACATAATGAGACTGATTGTTCGTCTGATAAAACAACTTATATGTCTGACGTGTTTGTTTAAGAATTAAGATTCAAATCAGATGAATTGCAGTTTTGCAATTAATGTTTTTTGTATTAATTTTATATTAAATGATGTTTTATCTCTCTCAGCTTTGCTTCAGCTATATCACTTACTGGATTATAGATCTGTAGATAATCTGTATCAAAATATCATCTAAAAAATGAATTCATGTACTAGTTGAAAAGGAGCGCTTTTATGAATACCATTACCAAACTGGTTCGATCAACTAGCATTTACCTGACAACTAAACTGATTGTATTTGAATAGTTTTGTTTTTGCATATTCGACTTGACAAGCTTTAACGCTTTTACCACTATGCTGCCCAACAACCCATGTGATTGTGTCATATATTGTAAGATGTACTTTGAGTCTGTGTGTACAAAGTGTGAAGCCCATTTCTGGTGTCCCCTGCAGTGATATTGCTGGAATATTGCTACAGCGGCATAAAAGCACACTCACTCACTCACTTTTTTATCATGAACCACAGTTTGTTGTAATGTGACAGAATTTACACAGCATCACATCAAACAGTATCATACATCACATCAGCTTACACAGCTTACTATCAATATTTTCCAACAAATTAACTGTCTAAGTACTTAACATGCTTAATATAAAAATTGATAACGTGAACATCAGTTTCACAATCAAATTTGAATATCATATATGTAAGAATCTGATAGAATAATAAAAGAATATTTACACCTGGATTTAAAGTGACAAAATTTGAATCTTTTAATAAAAAAGAATAAAGTATTGAATTAATATTGCTAAACCTTACCTTCGATGATTCCTTTTCAAGCGATACTGATCAGATCTTTGATGGCAGCAAGAACTTGGATATGATTTTAATAAGATTGATCATATCCAAAGCATTTGTCCAGTTTATGTCATGTTTCTGCCAGTGAACATACTCAGTGTAGCGCTAGCAGTTTTATGCCTGATAGTTATATTTCTTATCAAAACCACACTGGGTTACATATTATTTAAATGAAATATGACCATTGTATTTTGCAAATCAATGCCAGTGTGTCTTTGTAGTCTTTCAACTGACAGGTTTAGTCCTGTAATATTTGCTGTGTGTGAGGATGTGTTTTTCAACTAATAGTATCATATGAGTAATAATAAGCTAATTATTACCTTGGAAACCAACTCATGTATTGGAATAACTGATTTAGCTTGTGTTGCCAGTTATTCAAAATGTCTCTGGAAAAAGATCATCAATTTTATCATTTCTTGTATAAATTTCTAACAGTGCTGCACCGATTATACATTTTCTACACTGACTGAATATATCCTCTATCAAATACCTACATGTTTTCCACTCTGCTTAGAAAAGCTTTGTTTGTTTGTTGTTTAACACCACACTCAGCAATATTCCAGCTGTATGGTGGCAGTCTGTAAATAACTGGGTCAGGACCATACAATCCAGTGATCAGCAACATGAACATCGATCTATACAATTGGGATACAGGTACATTTATCAGTTTTCATAATAACCACCATCACTGTTACTTCTGAAATGCCCTTCTTTCTGACTCTATCCTTTAAGGTGCTAGGAACTCATTTTAACCATGCCCTTGAAAAATTAATGAAAGGAATTTCAAAGTGTTAATAAGATCATTTAAACATTGTAAATGTTGTTGAACAAAAACAAAACACAGTCCTCTGATTTTTAATCAACAGATGTGTTAATAATTTAAGTCATTCCTAAAACTAAGCAGCCAGAAAGGTGAAGTCAGAGCAAAGTGATTAGGATGAAATGAAAATGTTACATCACCCGAGACCATCATTTTCAAGGCTTTGATTATATTGATTTATCAACAATGATAAAAACTTTGGTAATTCCAATGATAATTGAGTCTGTTATTGCACAGTGACAAAAAAGTCTTACGGTATTGATTGTCACGTTGAGAGTTACATTAGCGTATGCTGCACATGAATATATCATGAACAACACAACTGACATCTTTCAAGGTTATTCCCATGAGATATCATGATTGCCAGGAAACAGCAATCACTATTCACAGATTTTTTCATTCTAGATTTCTTGAAAATGAAATAACATGTTGTTTCAATTATTACTTTCTTCAAAAACATCAAGATGCAATATTATTATAGATTCACTTTGATTTTGTTGTTTCATGCAATACTCAATATTACCTTCCCTGCATGACTGCATCCTATAAATAAATAACTTTAGATTATGAACTGTAGTTCTGTAACATATTACATTTACAACATTTTTTATACACAAATCTGACGTAGAATTTTTAAGACACTTTGTCACTTAATTTGTTCGTTGCTGATCATTGGCAAATCATATACTTATTGGTGTGCAATACTGACAGCAATTCATAGGCAGTTTTGCATGCTATTATTCATCAGAGTTAAACATTTGTAAATGATCTCGAAAAATGTAAATAGTGTCATAAAATTGATGTACTGATTTGTATCATTTAATAAAAAGCAAGAGTATGATAATTGTCACAAGTTGGGGAAGCTATTTTTAAGGATTTATGTTTAATAACAAAGGTCACACAATAAAAAAAATATTTACTAAATATATGGTGGTCACTTATTTATAATATATAACAAAACAGAAAGAGTTCCTTCCGTTCCCCCAACCCTAAACCTAACTCTAAACCTAACCCTAACTTAAATTTTGGACTTTAAGTCATTTTGTGAGTTCTCTAGTAATTGTTGTGTTAAGATTTGTTAATAATTTTAGTATATTTATCAATATTATTTGGGATTGAGGGATGGGGGAACGGGAGGAACTCTTACCAACAAAACTGAGTCTGATAGCCTTATGAATGACATGATAAAAACAGGCTTCAATCACCAGTAGAAAATTTGATTTGACAATAAAAAATAAAAACTCATTGACCAATAAATTCTAACTGGGGTACATTTATAGCAAATATCATATTTATTATAATGATAGCAGTTTTTTAAAGTACATTACAATCATAACATTTTTGTCGTTTTCCATGGTTGTAAATATGCAAGTTAAGTATATTTACCTCTGGCTCAAGGAACACTTCAACTTTTTCGTGCCCATTCGTTTGAACCTCACCAACTCCGCGACTGAGAAGTGAGAGGTTGAGAGCACCGCCGCCAGCCATTGTTAATTTTTCTATCACTGAAAGTGTTTTCCTCAGTTAAAACACTCTGCCGATGATAAACACCTACGATGCATTATTCAATTGTCTCCCGCAATCACACGATACTATTTCCCTTTGAATGCTTTCTCCGTGTCTTCGGTAACTTCTTTCTTCGCATTGACAGTGACGCTGTTATCAATTATTAACTACAAATAATGATTATCTTCCCATACATGCAAACTTTTCGTCTCTCCAAACTTGGACCATGGCCGCCATATTGTTTATACGTTGCTGGGTGTATGTGACGTCACAACAGGTGCTCGTTGTATGTCATGGGGGAGAAAGGCCGTTATGAACTGTCAAATAGAACCGATACTTATTCAATGTCGAACAACGAAATGTGCCATATGTGACATAGATATAGACACAAATGCATTCCTATATTTAAATGAACCATTACAAGTCGAAAGCAACATAAATTATACGGGGTGAAAGTCCAACACTCCCTCCTGAAAAATGGCTTAATCCATTGATCCAATCTCGACCTATGGGAGCCGTATCAAAACAGCAATCGACATATTTTGCAATATTTTGCCGTCGTATTTTTTCAATATACTAGTGAATTAAAATAATAAACAAATCCTATTTGTGCAGATTGCTGGATTCCGTTATCTCTATATGAATCAGAGCATGAAACATATACAACAATGAAGTTATGCGTTTATCATTTAGCTTTGTTTCGATCAGCGAACTGTAGTAAAGAATGATAATATCAACATGGTGTCTCAATTGAAGTAATATCCTCTCGACACTGTAAGGTGTGTCCTCTCGACAATGTACTTGCACGGCACTGGATCGCGTCACTTGACCTGCCTTGCAGCGCTACAGTTTAATGCGTAAGCCGAACATAAATGCTATGGTAAGGAGATAAATGGAACCGACTAGGTCATGAACAAAGCATAAAGACATTAGCCTAAGCACGGCTGAAACATGTCGCCCGAGACTTGTGGTTATATAAAACTAATTGGGGATTAATTTTTTTAGTACATTTATATATTATATTTTAAAAATATATATCCTGTTTAAAGCAAATACATGTAAAATTATTACAATACACGGGTTTAGGTCAAGATAATGATTGTAGTGCATTCGAAAGAATGATATTTATGCATTCATTAAACAATTCCATGCAAATATGAGTCAGTTTGACATTTGTGTTAACATGTTTTTACATTACAGGCGAACCCCGTTTATCCGGACATATTGGTTACACTCGGAAATCGTCCGGTTAAGTGGATCAAACAAGCAAAACGCATTGACAATGTATATTGAAAATTTATTCATGTATGTATATCAATAAGTCAATAGTCAAAAACATATAATCATAACAATACCATATTCAATATCACACCAATAAACTTTCTTTCAGCACGTTGATTCACGTTATACATTTTACATAGCACATCTTACTTGACTGTATATGTTTGAAGACATATCTCACAGACAGCATTTATCAGCTTGTAATAGACCATATAATGATGGTGCTTTTTTACACTATCTGGACGTTTGTATGCATGGTGTTTAACGTTGTGGTCGGCGTTAGAATTAATCTGACATTGATCTCAGAAAGAGATTGAATGAATGAATGAATGAATGAATGAATGAACGAACAGTCTTGGTCTCTAAATTTGTCTAATCATGCTAGACGTCAGTTAGGCTCCTTTAGGCTCCTTTCTTTATTTTCTCTCTGCGGTCACTGAGAATGTGACGCACTTTGCCAAATAACACAGCTTCTTCTAAGTGGAGCATCTTGAAGTTGTGTTACTTGAATGAATGGGTGGTTTCAGCACTATTACAAACATATCAGCGTAGCACACGCAAAAAACGGTGTGACATATACTTTGAGAGTAACAGCGGTGTGTTACCCTAGCAGTAACAAAGGTGTGTTCGTTAAAAAGAACCATAGCTAATCACGTGGACCAATGCTTAGTCCCAGAATACATATAATTTTCATAGAAATAAATAATTCAATTTACACTGAAAAGAATCCCCAGTCAGGTGGGAGATTCCTTGTTGCATTACATGCAGTGCGGGGCCAAAAGTAGACTTACACAAGCCTTATAGGTAATGTAGTTTAAATGATAAGTTCTACAAAATAAATAAAATCAACACATTGTCCCTGTAACAGACTGTCATTGTACTGGAGCAAGGCTTGGCCGAAAGGAAAACAATATGATTCGCGGACTTATATGTATATATAAAGTGAGTGCTTAATTTAATTTGCAACCTTGCAAGACCAAAAATTGTGTAAATTTGTTGATGGGTCTGCATGGTCTGAGCATGGTCTGCATGGTCTGAGCATGGTCTGCTGCAGCTGCATGTAATTAAATCTATCAACTGAATGATTTTACTTTGCCTGTTATGACTGTGGAAGTCGCGGTAGCTGAGCGGTTTAGGCGGCTGACTTTGTGTGCTGGCGATTAGGTCTCTGACTCTGAGGGTGTGGGTTCGAATCCCGGATGGGACTCCACCCAACAAAAGTACTAGAATCTGTAATTTAAGAAAGTGTAATCCCAAATATAAGATATATATGTTAGACTGTTACCTATATTATGTTTCTCATCCAAATGCGCCATCCATTCAAACAGATTACGATGTTTCAGTTAGTTTTATCGTAAAACGGTAGGAATAGGTTTAACTGCGGCGTAAAACAACAAAGAAACAATGCAATTTCATCTATTTAAAAAATGCACAATTTGTTTTGATCTGCTCCCCAGGCAGAAGCCCGGATGTTGCTATGACCTTAGCTCGCAGCGCGATGTCGCCTCAGTCGGACTGTCGGCTCGCATGAGGGCGGTGAAATCTAGAAATAGGGTTTTGCTGACTGATGTTAACCTGACTATTTTTCTCATTTTGACCGAAACTGTCATGGCGTAGCTAATCTTTCGGCTTGGGGGAGGAGATATTGAAATATTGTACCTCAGATAATCTGTTTGATTCTGTATTCATCCAATAATCGAGCTTTGAGACCACCACACCGTGAACGAAACCGGAAGATAGCTCGGTCATTTTGACTTACCCGAGTTGAAGATCAGATGAACTGAATAGACATAATTTGTCGTAATATGTCGTTAAGTTGACACGATGAGGTTCGTAGGAATTAGCTACGTCAGTAGTTGACGCCGCAGTAAACGAGGCCGAACATTTGAGTTCGAGGCCATTTTACTTTGTTAACATTTGACAATTGAATCTTTAAACATGGCCGATATCCAGTATGTTAACATAAAAGACATACGTCCAGGGCTGAAGAATATCAACGTGATGTTTATTGTGCTCGAGATGGGTAGGTATCGCTCGGAACGAGCGGAAGAACTAATCGATGATTGTTTGCAGAAGACAGGAGTTGAAACATCCATTTTTGTCGATCGACTCGACTGGTACAACTGTCAGGCGAGTCTAATGCGCAGAATCGGGGGTGAAAGGTTATACGGCTTATGGTGTGCTCAGTCGATGGGTCGCTTTTGTTCATGTTGGCTCGGAGCCAGCTAGAACATAGGAAATCTCAGAGAAAAGTTGCTGAAGGAGAAATTATGGACAATGATCACATTACTTAAATTTTTGTGTCTCACAAGTTTATATTTAAAAAGTAAGTAAGACGTCACAATTATTTTGACTTTGAGAAGACCCTACAATAAAATTGATGTTTTTGAGGAAAAACGTCTTAAGAGATCATATCAAAAGCCTGATGAACACTGCACTAGTTATCACTCAAACCAATTTAATGTTTGACACTGTACTATATAAATGCTTTTTAAAATTGAAAAAAGGGAGTTCACTTTAAAATGTAAATAACTGAATTTTGTACCTTTTCAGGTAAACCAACAAGGACAAAAGATGGCCATGACGTTAGGTCATGTAAAGTAGCTGACAAGAGTGGCTCCATCAATGTGTCTATCTGGGACGAGGCCGGTGATCTTCTCCAGTCCGGTGATATATGCAGATTAACTAAAGGGTACAAACACTCATCTGTTAGGAATTAACAGGCAGGGGAGTAGCCTAGTGGTTAAAGCGTTAGCTTGTCACACTGAGAACCCAGGTTGGATTCCCAAACTGGGTACAATGTGTGAAGCCCATTTCTGGTGACCCCCTGCCGTGATATTGCTGGAATATTGTAAAAAGCAGCGTAAAACCATACTCACTCACTTTAAGGAGATAGGGATTTTATGTGTTCAGATATGCAGGTGTCACAGTGTATTCAGTGTCCAGAAACTTCATTTGGAAGAGTTACATGCATTAGTTTCCAGGCATTGAATACCCCACAACACTCGCAAATCTGACAAAGAGAATCACTGTCTACATTGCCAAAGGACGGTGGTGTAGCCTAGTGGTTAAAGCGTTGGCTCGTCACGCCAAAGACCCCGGGTTTGATTCCCCACACTCACTCACTCACTACATTGTCAAATGCACTAGGCGTGGTTAATATCAGTAGATGTTTCACACATTGAGTCGAAGATGGCATGACGTTCAATCTGGAATAATTGTACAATGGATGACGTCACATGATTCTGTGATGACTGAACCTCACTGGTTATCAAAAGGTGGAGAAAAGTAAAATTATTGATTCTGATCATATTGATCTCCCATCACCCATCCTTTTCAAATTTGGGATTGGGGCAGATGGGATAGCCTCATGGCTAAAGCATTCACTCACCACTCAGAAGACCAGGGATCGTTTCAACACATGGGTGCAATTTGTAGAACCCAATCCTGGTGTTCACAGAAGGAAAATTACGAAATGTGACGTAAAACTATACTGATTCACTCCCCAAATTTGGAATTAACAAAAAAATTGCTTGTGTAGAAAAGTATTCATAAGGAGGGAAAAGTTGTAAAGATATTCTTTAAAACTGAACGAGTTTTGCCTTGGTCAATTTAAGATGGGTCCAGTGATGGCCTCCATTTTTACGATTTTTGTTCTTGTGATTATGCATTGAGAAAGTAATACAATGGAGACCCGAATTTGTTTTTTGTTTTTGTATTTAATATTTTATTACAGAATTCCTGTTGCAGGTGGGGGACAAGAGACCCAAAGTTATTTCACCTTTCAACAGTGCTTTTAGAACTCACTCAGAACAGTATTTGATACATTTGATTCCTTATCTCAATGCAGTTAAAAAAAAATTAAATCACAAAGTAATATTTTGTGCTCATATTTTTGGCTGGTGGAACAACAAGGTTTGCTGTCATCAGTTTAAAAGAAATAATGCTTTTCTGGATTTATATCATTTCCATTTTCATTTTTCGAAATAACAGCTGAATCCATAAATCATTTCATAGATAAAAATGTCAGCTGAGATAGTTGCTGTACGTGTATATGTTGCAGGTATGCGTCTCTATGGAAGGGCTGTTTAACCGTTTACACTGGGAAAAATGGTGTTATCGCCAAAATAGGAGAGTAAGTGTTGCTAGTGTTTCATCCTTGAAATATCCGATATATCTTTGAATTCTTTTACAGTTGAATCTTTTTATGTGAAGTGTTTAACTGTTGAATTTAATAAATATACAAATCATCTTCTTTTATGATTGGAAAATGTTTTTGACAAGTGTGTAAACCCCCAGTCCCAAATGTGCTCTACAGATAGGCTGGTTTCTTTTCAGGTTCTGTCTCCAGTTTTCAGAGCTTCCAAACATGAGTGAAGCAAATCCAGATTTCCTTGCCAAAAATGTAAGTACAGTAATTTTAGTACTATTCCAAAAAGAGGACTATGGTGTGAACTACATCCCAGTGCTTGTATTGGAAGTCACAATTAAGTGAGAATTCTGTAAATTTGGAGAATACTTGATTGATTCTCATGGGTAGTTCAGGTTTAAGTCACAATAACAACCTCTGATTGTAACCTGGTCGCTTAGGTGTCGTCCTGACTGTCGGAATTCTTTAGATCAGTGCTCATGCTATCAGCCATTGGTTTGAATGGTTTTATCAAGTTGCTATGATGAAGACCCAGGTTAGAATCAATCTTCAGCAACCTATGCTTTTCGTAAGAGGCGACTAACGGGATCAGGTAGTCAGGCTATCATCGGTTCCAAATTGCGCAGGTCGATGCTCTTGCAGTTGATCACTGGATAGTCTGGTCCAGGCTTGATTATTTACAGACCGCCACCATATAACTGGAATATTGATGAGTGCGGGGGTAAAACTAAACTCACTCACTCACTCACTCACTCGGACATAAACTCATTCTTTTTGTGTAAATATGTAATCTAGAGACATCAACACAATATTTATCAGTCTGTCGTGAGACAGCTCAGAATGCATTGTGTGACATATTGAAATGTTTCAGGACCAGCCACCGCAACAACGAAAGTCCCCCACCGAGTCTGATGGGTCCCAGACAATGATACCCTCCCAGACACCTGGAAACAGGCCCCCCATGTCAGGTGGTCCCCCTCAGATGGGAGGTCAAGGTGAGGTCAAAGGTTATCTGAAGCTGTGTTGTTGTATGTCACCCAATACCCCAAATTCCTTCATGGTGATCCAGAGTGAATTGGTCCCGAGCAACCTTTGCATGTTTGGAGGGGCGGTGGGGTAGCCTAGTGGTAAAAGCGTTGGCTCGTCACGCCGAAGACCCGGGTTCGAATCCCCACATGGGTACAATGTGTGAAGCCCATTTCTGGTGTCCCCCGCCGTGATGTTGCTGGAATATTGCTAAAAGCGGCGTAAAACCAAACTCAGTCAGTCAGTCAGTGTTATTTGGATTCTGGGTTCGAAATTAAAATACTTCTGCTTGTCTAATACATTTTCTCCTTTTCTATGGAATAATAAAAATGAATATGAATTTTGAGCCCTGTTGATTGGAAGATGTAGGTGCTTAAGAGACATTAGACAGGGAAAGAAACCTTTCAAATTTTCCCACAAGACCACAGGACCAGTGAGTGGACAATAATTAGTGGTCCTGTCTGTACTTCACTGGTCCAAAACATTCATAGATTTACTTAACTACCAATACAAAATTCACTGGCCACCAGGACCACTGCAAATATATCATTTAGTGGTCCTGATGAATTTTTACTTGCAAGGTACCACAGGACCAGCGTACATTTTGGCCTTACAAATCCTGGCCTTACAGGTCCTTGTATGTAAGATTAATCATTTGATTATCTGGTCCAGACTTGATCATATACAGGTTGCCGTCATTTAGCTGGACTCTTGGTAGGTGTAGGGACATCAACAGTGTCTTCTGCCATTGTTGCTCATGAACAACCATCCAACCTCTCCACTTACCGTCGTTCAAGACCAGATATGACATGGGCAGTTGTCTCCCTTGATTCCATGTGCTAAAAATTAAATTCTTTCATTATAAACATCAATTTTTTTTCAGGTGGAAATGGGCAGTACCGTGGCCCCGGCCCCCAACATTCTGGCCCCAGGGGTCCACCACCTGTCAATGGTAGAGGGAGGGGCATGAGGCGATAATTCTCAACTGGTGCTGGATGTCTACAAGGTTGTCTCCCTTCAATGGTGCAAGTGCTCTTCAAGAGCATAAAAATCGACTTTCAAAATGGTCAAAATTAGGGGAAAGGGTTTTGCAAAAATGGAAATTGAACAAATATTACTAAATATTATCAATTCTGGAACACTGAGAAAATAGGGGGCAGTAATATTGAACGATAGACTGATGAATTATGAATTAGTAATTTGATGATAAACCCTTTCTGACTGTGTGACCATATGTATAAATGAATTATATAGTGCTCGTCTGGAGACAGGAATGTGTACATATTTCTCTGTGTAACTGTGTATGTGATAATTGTGACATGGACGTCTTGCTGGTTGCCTGTGGATGGTGGTTGTATCAGACATCTTGTATTCTTCCAGCTTTACATGGAAACTGTTGATCGGTCTCAAACCCGTAGCATTTGTTTCCTGCCCAACCTCAAAGCTTATGAACATTTCTGTGTGACACCATTATTGTTCCAGCCTATAATTTGGTATTATTGTTGCAAACGCATCGGAAGTAACAACTTGACGTATTGTATCTGAAACATGGACAGGATTGAGATACGTTTTTTATGATCTAGGGACAGGAGGGTAACCTAGTGGTTGAATCATTTGAACATCACCCTGAAGACCACGGGTTTGATGCCTCACATGTGTTTAATGTGTGAAGCCCACTTCTGGTCCCCACCGTGATATTGCTGGAATATTTCGGAAAGCAGCTTAAAACCATACTCATTCACTTCTATGATTAAAGGCATGTTCTAGTTGCATATGCTTTTGGCAGTTACATTAATGGGGACATCACAAGATCGGAATAACTGACTTTGACAGATGTCTTAGTTTTTCTCTAACATTGACTTGATCTAAAGACTTTCCTCTGGGTTGAATTTCGTAATTACAAGTTTATAAATCCTGCTATTCTTCAACGGGTATTCAGGGCCCACGTGCACAAAGTGACCTTTAATATTTTATTATTATAGGATATTTATATAGCGCACATTTCCAGGCAACTAGTGCATGCTCAAGGTGCTGGTATTTTTTCCCTCGATCATTGGATGTCAATCTCAACGGTACATCATTTATCAGTCTCAACTCCCTGGGGAGTATGCAACTCTTGCAGCCACTAGGAGCACCGAGTTATTGTGGCTTTCTCATCCCAACGAGGTACCCATTCACAGCTGGGTGGACTGGGACACATAGTCACAGTACTTGTCTGAGTTCACTGCACTTTGCTGTACCCGCAACTAGGTGTTTGCACGTATTCATGCGGCCACCATCTGGTCATATACCAACAGACCTTTGTGCTATGACTGTTTGAGTCTTTAAGTATGGGAGTAATGCTTGTTGTGGCACTAAGATAGCTTTGTGCATGTGGACAAGAGAACACAGCAACACTGACGAAGAGATTTGCACACCTTTTCCCCAAGGCAATTTTTTCTTATAAATTTCAACAGTAAAACAGCTGAATATTTTCAATCCAAGTATACAGTATCACTGGTAGGTGACAGGGTGGTAAATATTATATTCACACTTTGCTAAGGATCAAATCATTGTTTCAACAGAAAACTTTGAAGTGGGGTCAAATTTGGTTTAAATATTATTGCTTATTGTAAGCATGGATCAGTATGTCACTGCATCTTGTGGATCCCACACCTGCTATTGACGGGTGTTGTGTACTTGTCAATGACTCGTTCCATGATTTGCAAAATGGTTGATTGGTGCCATGAAAACCATTTTTATGGTTACTCATGTATCAAGTGCATAAGGTTAGATTAAAGTGGTTGTTTGCCTAAAGAGGGGTTACCATGTCATTATTTATCCAGTTTTGAATGGATACAATTTCAAATTAATAATCTATGTCTAAGCAGAGTTGGAAATTTTTGTGATCCTTAGCAAAGTGTGAGTAGTATATGTCAAAGTGTATCATTTAACACTGGTATGAGGACACATAATCAACTATGTCACATGTCACTAATCATTGTAGTCAGCTGTTAAGACAGGGTAAGGGTGGCCCAACTGTGAAAGGTGCTGTTGGTTGCGTCACTTAGGCATGCCAGGAAAATGATTGTTAGTTCAAATCCCTGACCACACCCATGAAGATTTGTGTTAGAATTAATCAAGCTTCTTGTAAGAGGTGATTGGATGGTCAGGCTTGCTGACTTGGTTGACCGTCATCGTATCCTAATTGTGTAGATCGATGCTCATGCAGTTGATCTCTGGATTGTCTGGTCCAGACTTGATTATTTACAGACATATAGCTGGAATATTGCCGAGTGCGGCATTAAACAACAAACAAGCCAATTCTGACTGACACAATGTTTTTAGGCCAGTGAGCACCACACCCATGTTTGTTGGTTTTACCAAAGTGTTAAGTATCTAAACTCTGCATAACTTTGGGCATTCCTCACATACGCCGACAGGTTGTATTATCATTGGAATACTGTTTAATGCGGCTTTGAACCCAATTCACTCACTCGTTCAAAAATAGGAATGAGTGCTTATTTTCTCAGGCTGTTTCAACGGTGACCTCAAAGAGACCTGGTGGTAATTGGGTGAATTTAAATCATGTAAATGTTAATCTGAAATTATACTGCAGAACTGCTAGGATTCTGGAGAAATGGTTATTATTCAAAATATATGATGATAATCAAAAAGCATCTTGTGTCTTATTTCACTGTAACAAAGTAATGTTCGAGTTCGACTGTTGTTGAGTTGTGAGACTGTCATTGTGAATGAATAGGGCTGGCAATGAGGTTAGGATTCAGTGAAGCCTGGTTCAGTATTTGCTCATTTTCTCATGTGGATGAATATATATTGTGATGTAGTATGTGAAATAAAACAAAAGGTAAATAAGGAACATCTTAGTTTGGAGTTTGTTTTTACCAAGGTCACACAGGTTGAATTAGGGTAGCCTTGTGGTTAAAATGACTTGGGTTTAATTCCCCACATGGATACAGTGTGTGAAGCCCATTTCTGGTGTCCCCCCACCGTGATATTGCTGGAATATTGCTAAAAGCGGCATAAAACTCATGCTGAATTTGAAATGGCTACCTTTAACTTTATTGGAAATGTATTATCAGAATACTTATGACACTATACTCTTAGGGACTGTTTATAATTTATGGCTTGGGAGGGTGGGGGGAATTATGATGATTTTAGGAAGGGGGTCATCATTTTGTTCTAGGGAGGTTGTCAGCAATTTTGTACATGAAAATATTTTAAAATTATCCTTGAAAATATTGGAAGGGGGAGGGGGGTCACTGATTTTGTACATGACATGCAGGGGGTCATTGTCCATGCTTCTCCATAAAAATCATCATCACACCCCCCCACCCAGCAATAAATTATGAACGGTCCCTAACATTAATAGGCTCTGGGATGACATCCACAGAAAACACTCAAGCCACATCTGAAATAGTTAGTTAGCTGACCGTTCATACACATCCAATTGAGGTATGGAGCTGTCACAATAGGTTACATTTTTCTCCCCTCATTATGCAATAAAGGTGGGTATAATAATCAGCTTGTCTTTCAATCTATTTGTAATGATGAAATAGAAGGTATTCAATTATGAAACTTGCAAACTCAAAGATGAAGATTTCAACTTATATCACTTGAAAATTAGGTATATTCTGTTTCCACGGCAACAAGATTGACATTTCAAAGATACCGTTTTTCTTTAGTATGTGAACACGTAACAGGTTACCAAAGTGTAAATTTCAGTTATTGGGTGACCTCCACTTACAAATAGGGACCTGCCTCAAAATACCAGGTCCTTCTTCCCAATATATAGGTATTGTTTTGAGAGCCTTAACAACAGATTATAGTCTGTTTGCAGTGAAAACATACCGATGAATTTCACTCTAAACAAAGAAGTAAATCGATTAAAGCAAAATTAAGATTGCGAATCCTCATAATTTTACCTTGCCAATTGAACATTCAAATCTCAGAATTTTATTCAACTTAGGTTAAAAGTTGTTTAACAAACGATCATAGTTTCAAATCGCTATTATTGGTTTGTATTACAAGGGGTATGCACATTAGATGAAACACCAAGAACAAGTAGGGCTGGTCTCAGTTAACGCTCATCACATACCACATGTTCATTTGTTTCACTGTTCCATCTACTGCGCTTACCCCCTTGTAATACAAACCAATAATAGCGATTTGAATCTATGATCATTTGTTAAACAACATTTATCCTAAGTTGAATAAAATTCTGAGATTTAAATGTTCATTTGGCAAGGTAAAATTATGAGGATTCACAATCTTAATTTCACTTAATTTGATTTACTTTTTTGTTTAAAGTGAAATTCATCGGTATGTTTTCACTGCATGAAAACTGCACCTCATGAGAGATTATTCTTTGAATAAATGTATTAATTAGACGGTTCATTCTTTTGAACTGGTAGTGGCAGGTCAGGATTTGTCTTCTGATAACTCTTCTTTCAGAAATTTATTAAATGTAATGTGGGGAATAAATTAGTCCACCTGGGTTTAGTTTCCTCTTGTGCAAATTATTCTTATTCTCATATTGCCAGGAGTTTGTAGTTGTATCGGTGACCCATGAAGGTCAAGGTTGGGATTTGCCAACCCTTGCGATTTTATCGTAGTCACTACGAATTTTAGCCTCAAACTATGCCAATACGATTGCACTAGAAATTCTACGAAATTTGAAGAAAATTCATTACAATTCTGATATATAGGCAAAAACATATTTTCTTCGATTAAAGACATTTTTGCCAAAAAGAGAGAAAAGAAAATATGTAATGCTGATAATTTGGAAATTGGCTGTTGGGGGTATGTGAAATAAAAACTTCACTCTTGATTAGTGTCATATTATCTTTCTCAGAATCCACCCTGATTTTAAGTATTTTGTGGACTACTAACTTTATGGTCAGACTACTAATTTTGATCCTTAAAACTACTATTTGCAACACTTTGGGGTTGGCATCTCTGCACATGAGGGAATGGAGGAGTTAGTTGATGTAGGTCATTGTAATTATTCACCTTGATACTTATTACATCAATATCTGGTCTAGACTCTATTATGTACCTCCCACACAGACTGCAAATAGTTGACTATTGTCAACACAGTGCAATGTTTTCCCCATGATGTGGCACTTTTCACATGTACAAATTTGTACCTCATTCTACTTACCTATGTATTTTATTACTCATCAGAGTAAACTCAAAAATTGTTCATGGGTTCCAAATCCAGAGGACTGGAATACATGACCATAAAAGTGGCACTGGAATATTACCTTACAAATCATATCTTAAAGATGACAGGTAATACTAATTTGCATACTAGTATAACCTTTTTTGTAAGACATTAAATTTATCTTGATCAAAGATTTCTCATTAGAATGATAGGACCAGTTTGGATGGAAAGAGTTCAAACTTATGACTAAGCCACATTTTTCTCATGTCAGCCGATTCCTCTCAGATAAAAAGCATCTCGCAGCTAAGCTAAAGTAGGTCTTTAATGCATGTTTGGACATGTCTACACTGATTTCATGTAAAGGGAGGTTACTCTTCCATACCCAGGATGTCCAAGCCCCTTCCAAAAACATGTTCAATCTGTCTCCCAAATCCTTTAGCATTAATAAACAAATGAATCCAACTGAAGGTTAGATTAATTTAGCAAAGCAAGATTATGCAATGGTTTGGGTTCCGGATGGATTTTTTGTTATTTTTTTTATGCATGTATATATAGATCTACGAATAGAACCAACATTTCATGACATTTGAAAACCATGTTTTGTAAAGAACAGATTTTTACCATGTTGATTATGATCTTGAGGTGATGGCCTGGTTTAAAAACTAGATTTTTCCAGAAATAGTGTAAAACTGCTGAAAAAGTGTCAGAATTACATGTTGACTTTTACCAATTCAGATCTTTTCACAAGAACCAGCACAATCTTAATAAGCACCGGATACTCCCCCAGGCTAAAATCGATTCCTGAATACATGATACATTTCAGGCTGAGTTTGATAAATGCGATTCCAAGGGAAGTAAGGAAAAATATATGTATATAAGTCAACTGAATCTAGTGTTTCATATTGAAACAATAAATACAATGCATGTTATGTGAAAGAGCTGTAATATGTCAATTACAGAACACCTGTCTGTCTCCCAGGTGTAAATGTCACCTGAGCCAACTATCATCAGTTTTACTGAGCATGTTTTTGCATTATGGGATATGCATTAATCATGTATGGTAATTTTAATAATAAAATTGCTATATATATATAGAGATATGAAATTAGATAATCAGCAAAAACTGTTGCATGTGTATATTTCTAAACATACCTTTTTTTCAGATCTTGATGGCAACTTTCTTTTTCAGTTTGAATGAAATTCCAGGTTGTATATAAATACAGTGAATGTTCATGATAACCTAATACTTCAAAGAACCATAGTTAATGTCATGGTGGTTATAAACGTCTTAGAAAAGTGTGCGACTGTTTATCCAGATTCAAAAGCTTTGTTCGTTTCAATGAATAGCAGCAATACGCTTTACACCTCTATTAAAAGTGAGTCTAGTTTTTTGCCGCTTTTAGCAACATTCCAGCAATATCACGGCTGGGGGCACCAGAAATGGGCCCATGTGGGAAATCGAACCCTGGTCTTTGGCATGACTAGCAACCGTTTTAACCACCAGGCTACCCTGAGCAAATGCAGTGCCATGTCCAACTGTGGCCATTGTCCGTGTTTGAGATGACCTATGATCAGACTGGGCTAATCTGAGAAAATGTTAATAAATTGAAGATGAATTGGTGTCCATGTACCTGTGTGCGGACATCTGCCTGTTCCATGCTCACCAGCTGAGACTAAGTGCTGAACACCCTACTCATAGAAAAGACTGCTTCTGTTAAAACAGGGAAGAGCAGCACTGAGTGACAATACCATATATTACTACCATTTATGGGCAGATGCTCTACCCACTAGAAATATGCTTTAATAAGTCAAAATTATATTTATGTGCAATTCTGAAAGGCTGTGAATTTTATTTCTAAAATGCTTGTCATGGAGCTTGTGTCATGTGAGCGAGTATGGTTTTACTCCGCTTTTAGCAATATTCCAGCAATATCATGGTGGGGGGACACCAGAAATTGGCTTCACACATTGTGCCCATGTGAAGAATCAAACCCGGGTCTTCAGTGTGACGAGCAAACGCTTTAACCACTAGGCTACCCCACCGCCCCTGTGTCATGTCAAGCAGAAGACTTATGCTTAACTTCTACCCTCCAAATAATACTGTCTTGGCCACAGAAGCCGAGTGAATGAGTTTGCTTTTACGCCGATTTTAGTAATATTCCTGCAATATCATGGCAGGGGGGACACCAGAAATGGGCTTCACACATTGTACCCATGTGGAGAATCAAACACAGGTCTTTGGTGTGACAAGCGATCACTTTAACCACAAGGCTACCCCACTGCCGCACAGAAGCTGAGGTAAGATATCGATAAACACCTTGAACATACTGGCAGGACACATATTGAACATGGTTCCCAGGGCCAGGGGACTGACCATTTTGGCTTGTGAACCACGCTCTGGGGTCATACAATACTCCTTCCATGGCCAAACTTCACAAACAACAGGGTCAACATTGTATATAAAACACCATCTTTTTTATTGTCGTCATGCACAGAGGTACTAAAACAGTCAGCTACAACTACATTTGGCTAAGAGCGTTACAAAAAGTGGCATGAATGAATCACTAGGTTGATGGTATACTAATCAACGTCAAAAAATGAAAATCTATCAAAATTGCCTCTATTAAAATGCAAATACTATATACTTTGAAAAAAAAAATTCTTCACAAATAGTCATCATGTAAAACATGTTCATAGATAATATATAGATAAAAGATGGGGGAAAGTGTGAATGCATGATAGATGAGTGGTTTATGTAAAAAAAAAATGTTAAAAATTTCACAACCCTTAGTAATGATCGAAGAAATTTTGCTCACGCCAAAGAAGCAGTTATTCACCAGATACTTCTGACTAAAATAACATTCTACTACATTTCTGGTCATAAATATATATATTTGTAGTTAAAATAAACTCGTTCAACAAAATAAAATTTTGATTGATAATCAGAAAAACGCATGTAAAACGGAAGCGTCACAAGGCATTTTTTGTACTCCTTCATTTACAGCTGAAGAAAGACATCTGAGAAATGACAGTGCCAATGTAGTGTTAATGTGTTGAAATAAGAACTACCTCTCCAAAACGTGTTCTGAAAGGAATGAAATAATGAAACTATATACATTACTGGTCCTGCCATTATAAAATTCGGATTAACATTTCAAAAACTGACAAAGTACAAGGTTTACATTGAGAATCATATACATAGCCAACAGAAAACACCTTAGACATTTAGTCTTGCTTCTGTAAATAGCATAAATAGATTTTTTTTTTCAGTCATGTAGTCACTGATATGCTTGAAGGCTGTTCCACCAAAACCCTGTCAGTCCACTGTCAGTATTTGATACAGCTGGATGTATTCAAGGATCCTAACAGTTGCACTAGCATGTACAGATTCACTTCCTTCTCAAATCTGTCAATCCGACTGCTGGTTCAGTGTCTCTTCCACTGTTGTGTTCAAAGGTCGGTGTCAAACCAGGCCATGCCTTGGTTATCCCCTCCCTGGGGCTGTTGGGGGAGACTCGAGTCGAGAGTTTCAAAATTAAGATCTCCTGATCCAGGACCCAGATCGGGCAAATTGTCCATGTGACCGTAGCCACTACCGTGATGGCTGCCGATTTCTAGGCCTTGCATTGAGTTTATTGGGACTTGTCCTTCATAATCTGGAAGAAGATTTGTTGCTTGGTTCAAATTTGCAGTTTTCAGTTGAAGCCTTTCAAGATAAGAAATGTCTGGTTGAATAGTGATATCTGATTGACATATCTGATTATCTCAATTATTCTTTAACAATTACATGCTTATATTTGTTCAAGCCAGAATTTATGTTCAGTACAAGTCATTACATTATTAGATTTACATTTGTCTGAAAAAAGTGTTAGTAGGGGTATCAATATTAGGGCTAATTTCAGCATTATGTAGTACACCACCAATAGTATTGACACAGTTAAGTGATTCAAGACTTGATATTAATACTACTCAGTGTAACAGAAACAAAGTAGTAAAAACAATCTGCTATTTTCTCTTGCTTATCAAACCAAAGGGACGTAACTCTGGTCTGAATTCATCTTTGGTGACAAACCCGGGCAGGTTTTTAACTCATTTCCATCTATTCAGAACTGCAACTATTGAGTGATTGCTAGGTATACTATCAATATTACTGACCTTATTATATATTTTTATTTATACTATTGTTACTACTATCACAGAGCAAACAATTTCAATGCATTGGTTACATTCTAGAGGGTTAGTGGCCTACCTGATTGTCCTCTGTCCATGTCATGTTGGCTACCACTGTACATGCTTCCTTGACTTCCATGGTGGGGAGGGGCATACAAAGTGTCACTGGTTCCCTCCGGGGGAAGGTTCATCCCAACGTTAAATCCTGGGGGCTGAAGGAAACAAAGCTATGTTAACATCTTTACTTCACTTGCTACATTCTCAAATGGCTTGTAAGACAGATGATATTGTATCACAAAACACCATCGATTACTCTGGAGGCAATAACACAACATCTAATGCGAAAGAGAATTTAAAATAGAGAGGGACTTATTCAGGTTATTTTTTTTAGAAATGAAAATCTGGCGATTTATTTTTTCATAAATCACTTGTCAAAGATTTCAGAATAGTTGGCTGTCAGTTGATGAAAAAACCCCAAAACTCACAGCATAAAGGGCACTCATGTTTCTCGTCACTACCCATTTTACCATTAGATCATTGAATTTAAAAGAAGCTAAACCTGACTATGGGATACAATTCTCTTTTCCACAACCTCTTGATTAAAAAACTGTCAAAAATGTTGAGCACGTACCTCCGACCAAGGGATGTTTTGGTCTCCTCTGTACAGGGAGCTGGTCAGTTCCATGGACAATCGTTTCTTGTAATCCTGGGGTTTATCTTCGGACATGCGGAACAGGACAGCAGCGGCGTAGGTCGCTGTGGAGACATTTATATCAGTAAAACTTGCATCCAAACTTGTGAACAAAGTTACATGAAGAAGTATAACTGGAAACACCTGCTTTAAACAGTATCCCAAATTTTGCCATGTTTGTACAAACTGTTAACCATGTTAGTTCTCTTGACCAACTACTGTGCTAGGTTTAATCTACAGGACAAAAGACGAACCCTACTTGACGTAGATTATTTATTTACAACATATTGATGTCACTCACCAACACCCTCATTGCGTGAATGTAGCAGCTCGGTGAGGGGAGCAGTGGCGCCCTCTTGTTCGATCATCTCGGCTCCTTCCTTGTCTGCAGCCAGCTCACAAAGCACGCCGGCTGCCACTCTCTGGATGTTCTCAACCGGGGAATACAACAGCTGCAAGTCAACCAAGCAACATTTAGTTCAAGACTACAGTAACACTGCCTACTAACCAATAATAGACATGAACAGGTGCGTTAAATTTAACTATGAAAACATCACTTAATCTAATGAAAGCCAGGTACGCATGGTACAATCAATGCCAAATGTGAATTTATTCAGTAAATGTTCAAATTCACTCAACACTGAAAAACAACCAACAAAAAACAAAAACAAAAAAACACACCTTTGTTTCAAGTGAAATTTCATATTATAAATACTCTTAGAAGAAATTTCAAGAAGTATTATTGAAGTACCTGAACGAAAAGTGGGATACAATTTAGGCCTCTGATGACTGCTCTGTTGTGAGCTTCGCGGGCAAGAATGTGAAGTGCCCCGACTGTTCCCTCTACGATCTCCTCCATTCTAACACCATCAACGTAGCTGGAACCACCATTGTTGGAACTGATGGAAGCTCTCTGCAACAGACAATTAAAAAATATGGATCCATAACACTCTTCCCATCTCTACATAGAGTGAGACTATCGGAAGTTAAGGTGGTAAATGACTAATATATACAAAATAAACTGCTTAAGTAATCCTGAGCTACTTGCTTTCAAGTACATACAACTTCAAGAACTGTTCACTATTTGAATTATAGACAAATTCCTATTCAATTGACAAAGGAAGCCATTGCATTTCAAGTTTGAAATGACAACAGGAGAATATTCAAAAGCTTTAATAACTTATCTGGATGCCTTGTTGTAAAAATTGTTGAGGAATGTGGTTCTCTGTTCAACAGGATCCCTTGTTAATGAACACCCTTTGAAACTGTTTGGATTACTTACCCTTTGAGTGTCCTGGTGTGCTCTTATGAGGAGCTGTACGATGCGTGGGAGAGCACCGTGTTCACGGAGAGGGGCATGGTTAGCAGGGCACAGGGCGAGGTTACGGATCAGACCAACAACAGCCTTGATGAGGGGCCAGCGACTTGGTGGGTGAAGGAGCTTGACTAGCACGGGAAGGCCATAGTGGAGGCGAACAGCATTCTGGGCCATTTCTGCCTCTGGATGACGGGCTGTCAAGTGGCGAAGAGCACACACCTAGGAAAGAAAAACAAAACTATACTTTGTCTACATAACTGATGAATTCTACAGAACCAAATTTATGTTGACAAAAGGAAGATAACTACATTTCTACCCAAAACTTTAAAACAAAAAGCAGCCCGTGGGGAAGTCATGCTTGGCAAATCCATTATTGGTACCAAGAATGGTTTTGGTGTGCTTTCAAAATTACTTGATGTTGTATGGTAGCCATAAAAGAGCAAGAAAAATGAATTGGCTTCACAAGCTGGTTGCTCAACTACTTTCAACCAGCTAATCATAGTTTACAGGCACTTTCACGAAAGCAAAGAAAACAGAATTTTTACTTCAGATGGAGAAAATATAGAAAAAAACAAACGTAGGTATTCATTGATGTGCTACTCACAGCTGGTTCAGTGATTTCTTCTCGGTCTCCGGCCTGCATGATGGTTCGTACAAGGGCCTCGATTCCGCCAACCTGGCACACCATCACCTTGTTCCTCTGGTTGTTGCAGGTCAAGTTGGACAGAATACCTGCGGCACAGGTGACTACGTTGATGTCGTTGGATGTCAGGAGTTGGACCAACATCTGGAGGAGGCCTTCAACTGCATCCTGGAAAGGTGAGATAAACATGCATCCTTGTGAAACTATGCACAGTAACTGTTTAATTTCTAATATACTAAAAACAAATATATTCGGAAAAGAAGCAAAGATGTCAGATATTACATGTGTAGAAAAAGACATGTTATTCTAATAATCCTTATGGCACTCAGATCATAAAATAGTTCTTGGTAGTATTACATCAAAATGAAATCCCAAAGTAAGGCAGAAGTGACGATGGCTTATTCACCAAAAACTGCCTTATCTATCTGGCTACTTCATCACACAGCATGTTTTACACTTACAATTCTTGTAGCAGCATCTGACAAGTTTCTGAGGGTCCACAGACAGTTCTGGACCAGCCTCTGACTCTGATGACCAAGGTGCATGGCTAGACTCGCCATTCCTCCTGTAGACAGGAAACATGCAATAAAACTCCCTCAAAGAATTAAATATCACTTCAACATGACAAGGGACTGCATCACATGACATTTATTGCACATGTACCTCCTTAAATCTGAATTGAAAAATCAGTTCCGTGTCTATAAACTGAGTGGGCTGGGTTTAACTCTGCCTTCAACCATATTCCACTTACAGCATGTTAATTTATGTGTGACAAACCTTGAAACATAATGGGGCCCTTCATTCGAGACAATCTAATAAAATAATTGAAAAATATTAAGGGGAAAAAAAAAAAAAAAAAAAAAGACTAAATGTTTAACATTACTCCATGTAAATTTTAAATTTCCCTTCCACAGGAAACAAGAGCCCCTGTCTACATACCGGCTTCAACAATGGCTGGCTTGTTGCTTGAGCAGACAGATAGCACCTTCAGAACACGCGATGTTGTCCACAACAGTTTTTCATATGTGTAGGATTTCATGATGCGAACAAGCTCTCCAGGTCCTCCGCTAGCAAGGATGATGAGCTGCAAATGATAATTGCATTAGTCAGCAAAAAATATTCTAAAAACCCAAACAATCTGGAAGGGATAGGCTCTTGAGTATATTGTTCTTTCAATCCCCAATCATAATTATCTCTAAAACAATGATACTCTGAAGGAAATTTTAAGTGTGAACCAACAATCAATGCTATGACAATCCAAACAGATGGTGTTTGAGAACAGTGATACTATTAGTGACTATGGTTAGATGTCAGTGAAGAGGATGTTCTGTTGAAAAATCTAAAGCTCTTTCATGATGTGAAAGCAGACAAAATTCAGCAATCACATTATAGATGCAGAGCATTCACAAAATTACTGTTCCCATAATACAAAAACTTGCTAGAGGTCAGGTCGTGTTCTTAACCCATTCAACAATGCAGGCCGAATAATAGGCCACAATGTTATGAGTCCCCCAGACACCGGAGGCCGATTAATCGGCCAGGCAGTAGTCACGTCAAAATGAGACAATTTTAGGATCCCTGCCTGACTTATGATTCATATATTAAATCTATCATATTTCACAATGTCTGAAAACACATATTAAATTTCAATTGATCATATATTATCGGCAGAATTAAAATTATAAGCTATTTTTCACAATGTTATTGAAAACAATGATTCTCGGACACATGCTTCGCCAGCGGGTCCACAATAACATTGTCAAAGAGCAAAGTAACGATGTTTCGAGGAAATCGTTAAATAAATTGAATAAACTAATGAATAAAATCAACAACAGCATTCATAAAAGTTGTCAAACGTACATATAGCATTACTATTTCCATCTTTTTCTGCGATCATGTAATGTAAGTCAAGTCACTGACAAGCGACATCTTGGCTCTCGCCACCTCAATCTTCACGCCCGGACACGATGTTTAATGCTAAAATATATGCATGAAGCATTTTTGTCACAGGTCATAACCTAGCACAATACGTCCAATAAGTTCCATAATTTACGATAGGTAGCGATTTCTTGCTTAATATGTTCAGAATAGCATTAGTTTACCCAAACCTTTCGTCTAAATCTAAAAGTTTTCGTTTACGAGGACGGTATCCATTGCCGTAATATGAATGGCTGCCTTAGGTCACGTCTGATTTTTACTAATCACGACCCTTATAGCAGACTTTGGCAAAAAAGCGTCATTAGAAACCAATCTTTATCCAATAAAATCGCTTCTTACAACTGTGAAAATACTCTCGGCAAGGGTACAGTGATATTGTTGATGTTCAGAGCTTTCGAACGATACCCGACCAACGATTCGCCTCCCATGTTATTCATACGGAGCTTCGAAAACGGAGGTATTTTCCGTTGTGTCATGTTACCGAGCGGAAAGCCACTGATATCGGGTAAAAGGCGACCATACATATTATTTAAGAAATCTGTTTATAATAATTTTCTGATTACATGAAAATATAAAAGAAAAAGGTACGGGCATGTTATGACATGTCACAAATGGAAAAATAAAAACAATTGCAATAGTTTTTGCTTCTTTCATGGTTTATCTGGACATTATAAATGTAAGCTTGCATTTTCATTAAAAAATACATTTATTTAAGTTGTAGTTGTATTATTTGAATAATATTATATAAATGAACTTCATATTTATCAACAGTGAGATTAGATCTTTTAAATGGTGTATGAGAAGTAGTAGCAATAACGTTTTACAAGCTTATTATTTCCTTCATAAACATAGGCTTCATCTATGACCTTAGAGTCTCTGGGAACTCGGTGTCATGGCAGTAAACGCCCCTGGTTGACTGGTGTTGAAAGAGTTAATCTTTGATTGCAACATTAGATGTGTAATCTGGAACACCTACTTTGCTTTCCTGGTTTCCGTATGCAAGGATCTGCAGACAGTCGGTGGTGATGGCGAGGAACTTGACATTGTTGTTTCTTTGTAGGAGAGCAACCATCTTTTGTAATCCTCCAGCCAGACGCACGGCCATCTTGGACCCCTCTTGATGGAGTAGGAGGTTGTGCAGTGTGGTGATTGCATAGAACAGGACAGACTCCACTGGTGAGCTGGAAACAGTCACTCATGAAATAAAATATGGTCATAGGGGAACATAAACATAGCTGGACTGTTTAATCTTAATACTTATTGGAATTTTGCAGTTGGGGTACATGCAGATTTAGTTGTTTCAAAATCCCTTAGATGTATTGACCAGATGGTATTTTCTGAGTATACAGAATCGAGACAAAATTTGGCCCAATTCTTTCATATTCCTACAGTTATCCTGTCATGGCTGAAGTGTTCCTGAACACTTTCTTGGGATTAGTAATTTTTGCACACTGATTACGTATGATTTTCTACGAATGAGTGAGCGAGTTTGGTTTTACGCCGCTTTTAGCAATATTCCAGCAATATCACGGCAGGGGACACCAGGTTTTTCTAAAAAGTTATCACCGACTGAAATGGTCATTGTGTGTACCCGGTGGAAATGACTATTCTGGCATGTATAAGTACAGTCTTTTCTCCTGTATTTTGTCTTGAGTATTTGTAAATTTTTAAGACTACCACCTACCTGAGGAGTTTGACAAGAGCTGGTATTCCTCCAGATTTGAATATGGCCAGAAGACCCTGTCTATGATGTGACAAGTTGTGCAGGGTCCCAGCAGCACATCGAGTGGTCTCCAGGTCGTCTGTGTTGTTCATGGCACGCACAAGAGCAGCAACCATTTGGGGGGAATTCATGATGGCGTGTCGACTTGCCTCTTTCTTTGACAGCTGGTGCACCATCATCGCCGCTTGGCTCACCACAACTTGGTCCTCATCATTCAGCAGTTTGATCAGCTCAGGGATGGCTCTTGTTGCAAGATCAGCATCATCCTACACAACAATATTACTTTAATGTTTCAAATATACCAAACTTTTAAAAGTTTCTTACATAATTTTAACATTTCAAAAGCTACATTAATCAAGAAACTTATGAACAGCACTTTCAGAATTTTACAAATATCTATTCTTTGGAAACAGGGAAATATGAAACATCACAAGCTGCACATCCACAGCCATACTGTGACTATGAAAACTGAATAAAACAAAATTTGACCAAATATTACTAAATATACATGTTGACAAAGGACAGTGAGTGAGTTTGATTTTACGCCGTTTTTAGCAATATTCCAGCAATATCAACGGTGGACACCAGAAATGGGCTTCACACATTTTACCCATGTGGGGAATCGAACCGGGGCCTTCGGCGTGACGAGCGAACGCTTTACCTACTAGGCTACCCCACCCCACCGCCCCGACAAAGGACAGTAAAATACCCAGATTATCACAGATTTACATCATGTAAGGTAGGAATCAAACCTGCAGTAATAAGCCAACAGTTGAAACTGGCCCACTGAGCTATTTGCATCTGGTACAAGTGGCAGTCAACATTCAGTAAGAAGTCCAGTCAATCTTTTTGATAACACATGTGATGAAAGGAAGTACCTGGTAGTTGATGAGATTGACAACAGCGTGCTTCAGCATCTGTGATGGTTCACTGAGCCTCTGAACTGCGGTGGGCTGGTCGGGGTGAATCTGTGTGGAGGGGATCTGGACACCTGCGGGCAGGGTTTCAGGGAACATGGCTGCTCGCACTCTGGGAGCGGGTTTGATTCAACTGCTGGTTGATATCTGTGGAATAGGCATCAATTAGTGATGTGACATTAATTTTCATATCTCATAAGGTATATTAGGATCTATTTTTCTGATTAATTTTCACTTATGAGATGAAATTTCTTTTCAGCAATTACAGCTGAAAATTGAAAACCCCCAACAAAACAAACCAAAACCACTATCACAAATCATTTCATGATAATCTGAGTTCATCTAAAATGTTACCTTATGTTTCCCTCTACCCTGAATATTGAAACATATCAGACAGAAGTTGTCATCCATAAAATTTCGCCTTTAAATACCGGACATTGAATACTTGGTTATTTCACTCACCATCCACCTGTTCCTGGCCATAGCCATCGCTGAAGTTGCCCGGCCCCCAGTCAAACATCATCTTCGATGGATCCATGTTCTCATCTTCTATTTCTTCCCCGGGGCCAGTCTTGCTGCTGATTGAGGGGGCCTACAACACGAGACGCCTTGCATTGTCTCAACATACCCAGCATTGAGTCCACTTGATTCCATCAAGCCAGCCATAATAAGCTTAATGACACACCTATCTTAATATGGGACTGGTGCTGCACAGATTTGGTTTTGTTCACACGTCACATATAGCAGTGAACTGGCTTAGAACTAAGTCAATATCAAAACCAAGCCATGCCATCTATTTTATTTAGAGCTGAAGCAATTTTTTTAAGCATCAGGAAATCAGCTCTATTTTTTGGGTATTTCATTGTATGTTTCTTTAAATATGTAAAAGTAAACAAGTGAAATTATGAAAACATACGCATGCTTTTTCTTATTCTGATTATCTTGAAAATAGAGGGTTCCTTTGAGCATGCATTGCAGTGTTTCAAAACACAATTTGTACTTCTATTGCACCCAACATTAAGGCTGTTACAAATAAGGGAGGTTAAAGGGTCTCAAGAGTTGATCTTGCATAAACCTTCTGATGAAGAACCCTCTTTCATGTTATGTTTTTGATCACTGTAAATCACTTTACACCTGTGTGGGGCTCGTATGCAACTACTACAGTTGTCCACTGTACAGCTTGACTCACCTGTGTGGTTGCACCTGAGTGGATGCCAGAATCTGTCATGTACTGGTTCTGCTGCCACATCATAGTTTGTTGTTGCTTGTTCTCCATTGGCATATCGGACAAATCCATGTAGTTACCACTGCTAGGACCAACTGAAATCCAAACATTGTTTTTATCAATTCATCTGTCATGCTACAGGTAGGAGCAACTGAATAAAAAATGGTGCTTATTAGTTCGTAAGCCATGTTATGAACAATTATCATTTGTTATCTGAAAGCATAAAATATATGTAATATTGAGTGATCTAAGACTTATGCCGGAACTACTTTCAGTTTACATCAAAGGCTATGGTTTTCCCAGGGAAGATCATGAATATGACAATGTAATAGAATACTGACCATCTTGTGAAATAAGACATTACAGTAGTCATTTCTACTTTTGTTAGCACCATTCATAAATAAAAACAATTAACGTCTTTATATTTTCCACGTTAAGCTACACATCACTTCCTGAAATCAGTACCATATCTTTAAGTGCTGCTAGCAAATCCAAATTATCACAACACTGAAATCATTACCAGCATTTGGCACACAGCTACTATTAAGCCCTCCCCCACCCCCATACTAGCACTGGTGGTCCATTGAGCTAAGCTAAAAGCTACAGAAAAAGTATCAAATGACAAGTTAACCCAGTCTCATACATGAAGTAACAATGAAACAATAGGCACTTTAAAGGAAAAGTACAAAGAAATCCTTTGAAATAATAAAAGAAATGTGCTCTTCAAACTACTTATTTCCACTATTGTGTTCACCATAGCAAACAAGTTTCTTCAGTTGTAAGTTATCTAATAAAGTCACTGCCCACATAAAATAATTTGCATTGAGACATTACCTTAAAAACAATTTATTGAAGATTTGTATCAAACAAACTCAACATTCTTAGATAGTAAACAAAGCTTGAATACGAAACTCAGCTATTTTTAAACAAGGGAGTGGTTCACAAAACATTTTTTTAAGCACTGTCCCCTCCCCTTAAGAAAAAGAAAATTCAGAATCTGTGTCAAAAAGGAGAACAGTAGTTAAGGAAATAAATGTCAATGGCAGCAATAACGGCTAGTGAAAGCTAACAATATTTACCCTCCTAGGTTCACAGAAATTCCGTGTTGACAAATACACTTCCCCTCTTATGCCTTGTCCTGGCAACTACAAGCTCACACATCAACACGAAACTTGCTAGGCTATGTTTACAGAAAGCATACTAAACATGCTGCCACAGCTCTATGACAAGGAAAAAATGTGGTCCTGGATTTTACTAGGATTACGCCTTGCACGAAAATAGATCCCTGCCATGTCTTGGCAACTGTTATATTTAGAAGATCAATATATCATTTGACCTCAGTAATGTTATCAGCTGAAAAATCTTGCAAATTGTTGTGAATCCTTATACTTAATTTACTAGAAGTGACCCATTTGGAAAGTAATAAAAGCAGACATGAAAACAAGAATGCGCAATTACAAAAGGAATGTGGTGTTTACAAGTGTCAAACATGTCAACATGCTTTTGTTTTTCAATCTTGAATTACCCATGCGTGAAATGTTAGTGTTGTTCACAAAACAATCTACTTTCCCGTCTCATAGAATTTGTTAGTTTATAAATAGTTATCACATATAGCAAAGCAACTGACTCACAACCCAGTTATCGACAGTGGCAACACAAACAATAGAAACAAATAAAAACATTTGATGAATACAGAAGGCTTTTAAGAAAGTGTCAAATGTACAAAAATATCATTTCAGGTTTACCCTTTCATGTTGAAGTACAAATTCTATTTTTACGGCCGAGTCCTATCCTAGATTCAAACCCAGAGTGGGGCAGCACAAAATCCAAGGACCTTATGCTACCCACCAATGAAGAGTCCACAAATAATGGAATTGAAACAGGTAATAAAGACAGCTCTACAATGGCCGAGGGCTCATAATACCACTGACCAACATGTGCTGGAAGTGAGGCACTCACTCAATAGTGTGTTTAAAGCCCAATGGTACTCAAGCCCTAAAACGTTCCGGAATTTGTACATTACATTGGAACAAGAAAGATATGACATCTTTCTCAATAGTTTCCCTGTTTGTACAATAGTTACTTTAAAAAGCTTAAAAATTAAATTATGAAAAAAAATTAAAACAATCTAAACCTGACCATGCTGCCACAAACCATCAGTAATGTCCTCATTCAGAAAACTGACCCAATAATGAGATGTTTGAAAATATAATTACACTTTGATACACTCCAACATTTAGTGGAGTGACAGCACTATTCTGAAAAAGTGCTGGTAATTATCAAAACCTGGATCCAAGGGTAATGAACCATTCAGTTTATCACATTTTAATCCATATGGAGCTAAGAGCGAGTGAGTATGGTCTTATGACGCTTTTAGCAATATTCCAGCAACATCATGGCGGGGGACACCAGAAATGGGCTTCACACATTGTGCGCATGTGGGGAATCGAACCCGGTTCTTTGGTGTGACAAACGAATGCCGTAACCACTTGGCTACGCGAATGTCCTTATGGAGTTTAGAACAAGCATAGCTTGGATTTAAACTGTTCACTTTGTTGCAGTTTTTCCTTGTGCTTTTTTACGAAGGCCCTTTCTGTCTATACATGTTTCCGAATGACAAGGGTTCAGGTCCCCATTTCATAAAGCGATCGTGGTGCTGAGGGGATCGAAACTCCCATACTTTAACAGACTTACAGTTTTAGCGCTTCGATCACCTTGTGAAACAGGCCCAAGATTGTCATGGTTTCACTGTAGACTAACGAGGACTGGAAACAAATACTCACTGGTCCTAGCAGGGTCTCCAGACGCATTCATCTGGTAACTGCTCATTGTTCACTTGTGGTCAAATCTGGAATTAAAAACAATAAGTTACTAGGAAATCAGTATGGTAGTGTTGGGAAAAAATCTGTACATAAATAAACTTGCATTAAGTTGCCCTCCTGGTACTATTTGAGACTTTTGACTGAGTTTAGTTTTACGCCAAGATAGTCGTATCAAGTGCCATACATTAACATTAACTTACGACTATCTTAGCACTAAGAGAGCTTCGAAAATCTAGGCCCTGGTACTATGAGGAACTGGGTGTACTCATGACTTCCATGATTAAATGCTATTATGTCTTCAAAATACTCAAATTAAACGATTTAGTTCAGTAACATGACTCGCCTCAATAAGCCTGCCAGTTGTACAGGTACACAATGTCAGAACATGGCTCAACAATCACTTGACATGGCTAGACCTTGGTGACAAGATAATGTAGGTATGTTTCAATAGCTTCAAGACTTGTTCTTGCTATGTAAATAATAGCACATGCCATGATATTCTCAATGATATTTTGTGAGTCAATCTGCCAGACTTTTCCACTCTGATGACCATGAAAACATGTCAAAACTGTCACACAGTTGACAATTTAGAATCTGTTAAGACAAATTAAACTGTAAACCATGGTATAACAATGCTTTAAGTCATGGATAACTTTAAGAACCAACTTTGAATGCAGTCACAGAAAATAAATGATCCTTTTAGTCATCATCTGCACGAGTCCATCCCTTTGCATGGCTGTGACAATCAAGATGTCATTTTGTAATGAATCACTGAGCCTGTTCTGATTCTGTCCATCAAAATGTCACAGTCCGCTCCAAATCATAAAACATCTTGAGAGCCATGACAATAATTCATGCATCATAAACCCCATAACTGGAACTGGAAGGGGAAGCTTTGAGCAACAAGAAGTAGATCTTTCCCAAAACAACTTAACTTCATTCAGAGTGAGTGAGCGTGAATGGTTTACATCGCTTTTAGCAATATTCCAGCAATATCACGGCAGGGAACACTTGAAATGGGCTTCACACATTGTACCCATGTGGGGAATCAAACCTGTGTCATCTGCGTGACACGCGGATAGCTTTAACCACTAGGCTACACCACCAACCCAACATTATTCAGCAAATAAAAAACTTCAGGAAATCCAAAAGCAGGTGCTTGCTGTAGTATCTCTTGAGTCTGAACCGAAAAGTTTGAACAAACCAAAACTTTTAGCATAGTTTTAAATGTTTTAGTTAACTCTTACAAATTAATATTTCTGAGCTTAACAGCTTAATATTTAGAGCCAACAGAAAAAACTAGCCTTTGTACTAGCAGAGTGTTAAACTACCTCAAAACAAAACCATCCTAGCTGTTGCAAGTACAAGATCTTTTTTGCCATTACTATGGTTAAAATCTTTGAAGGGCATTTAGAAGTGGAATGCATAAGAAAAGCAAGATTTATGGATGTCAACTTCTTTATTGTGAATAACACACCGTTTCGGAGTGTATGCTTACTCCATCAGATCATCAGGGTGTTATTCACAAAGAAGTTAACATCCATAAATCTTGCTTTACTTATCACTATGGTTGCCTGAATGACCTAGACCAAAAATAAATCTAAGAAAATATTTTAATATTAGGAAGTATTTCTCATGAAACGCATTTTCAGATCTGCTTTGATCAAAAGTAAATGAGATGCTTTCAGGTCAAACTAAGTGAAAGTGTCTTGATGTCCGTCTGAATCTGCATTCCTCAAAATCCTCTCCAGGCCTTAAATACTACGTTCTTTATATACAAGGTCAGGCAACAGATAATTCAAATAGGTATAGTTACACTACAAATATGAATTGCCCATGAATCTGATTGTACTGTGAATCAAAGTTATTGAAAGAGGAAGCAAATGAATGTCCAGATCATTCTACAGTACTCCAGTAAGTTTATTGCTTTAAGTGTTCTAAAAAGGTTATTGAGTGTGACATGGCAAGTGTCAATCACCAGTGTCAGATCACCTCTATTCCAATGTGACAGGATATATCGACATGTCTCCCACTGACAGGTAGAAGTAGGCCACAAATCAACAGGTACGGACACATCAGGATATCACCTACCACCCATCTACAGGTACTCCAGTTGCCAGGTACTTCAACAGATTACACTTGAGATCACCATTATCAAAACGACAAATAAGTTGATGCATTGATATAAGCATGTCCAGACCTGGTCAACCTCAATTCTGCACTTGTTAACACCGTGCGAAATTAAGTAGTGGTTTAAACAAAATAAATGTAATTGCTACTGGGGCCATTTATCAAAAATATGTTTTTTAAAAACCGTACTACCTTCCAAGAGTACATACTGGCAGAAGCTTCTTTATAATACAATCTGACTTTTTTTGTGCGAGTGAGTGGGCGAGTTTAGTTTTACGCCGCACTCCGCAATATTCAAGCTATATGACTGGGGTCTGTAAATAATCGAGGCTGGACCAGACAATCCAGTGATCAACAGCATGAGTATCGATCCGCGAAAATTAGGAGCCGATGACATGTGTCAACCATGTCAGCCAGCCTGACCACCCGATCCCGTTAGTCACCTCTTACGACAAGCATGGGTTATTGAAGATCAATATTCTAACCCGTCACTATTCAGATCAATGATCTTGTAAGTCAATTTTCAGCACTGATTGTCACTGCTGAATAGCATCCTAAGCTGTTGTGTTCCAAGGTAAATGTTAGATGTCGATGGCTTCTTGGTTCTGACAACCACTTAAGCATACTGAGCAGAAGATCTAACATTTAGTAAGTAATTCTGATGATACTAAGATAATACTAATCCAGGAAGACTAGACTTGAAAATCACTATCTGCAAATAAAGTCTTGCATGAGTCAGTTGGCACAAATCATTATAGCTAACAGTCCTTCCCTCTTCTCACCACCAAACCCTTCTCAAACCCTAAACGACATGAAAAAGTTACAGGACGATGTTTGCATTATCACTTCCACATTTACATCATGACATAACTATCAAACATTTACTTAAAACAATTCTCTGAAAATATACATAAAAATCTGAAACTCAAATTATAGAACAAAAAGAAAAATCAACAGCACTGAAATATTTCTGAAATGTTACCATAAATATCTAAAGAGTATGATTTTAAAAATCAAGCCCAAATGTTTCACTTGTGATAAACAGGACAGATCTTGGAACCTTACACTCTAGATCTATAGGAGAGACCACCACTGTGATACCACCACAGACACGCATTCAGAAACTATTTCCTCCCTAGTGAGCGTACCCATGGACAAGGGTGTAAAACGAGCACTCCCTCTATCCCTCCAGACAAGATAATCCCCCAGTGTTTCTCCACGCTTCACCTACCCCGCTCCTTCACAATGGATGACAGGACAAGCTGGCAGGCAAACCACCTGTCACCTCGTTGAAGGACCGTTGTAATTCAAAATTATCCTCACTACTACAGGCTATGTAAACACTTGATCCTGCAGGTGCCCCGTGGTAAAATGGTGACAATCAATATTCACTATCCCTGCCTTATAAAATCTTGGTTTAGTTTTGTAGAGATTAATCATCTGAAAATCTAAACTTGGAAAATGTGCAGATTAATAAAAAATACAATACTATTGCATCACAAACAAAGACATGCCCCAAAATGTGGCAATGATTAGCATACAGGATGGTGTGACTCTGACGTAAACAAAAACCCCAGTGTCAAAGCACATAATAAATCTAAGATGTCAATGTCTTAAAATGTAATAAATGAGGGCACTTAGACATAGGTCAAGAAATGACTGAAGATTCTTATCACCACTTTACCATTGCCGGATAAGGCGCATTACAACCAACACTTTTTACACGATTTTACAAAACTTCACTGTTGTAAATTAGGTTTTATCTGACAAACTTCAGCAGCTACAGAATAAGATTTCTGACTCTATACACAACTAAAGTAATGTCCCTCAACACTGTACTTAAACACTATCAAGTGTATCATAAATTTAACATGGGAATTAACTTTGGAATCTGCTTTCAAAACCAGCAAACTTTGGTCTACAAACAACACTACCGCAATAAAATTCCCTCAAGTCAATATTCAAAATATTTAAGGGAAATCTTTAACATGCTCAACATAACGATGTCTATGGTTCATTGAGATTTGCTTCAGCAAAAGAATATCAACTTTTACTTTTGATAAGAAGGCTGTGTCATCATAACTTGAATGCAATTGAAGGAAACCTAAAAATAATCTTACCATACTACATAATTCAAAATATTCGAAACTGACAAACTTTCTAAGTGTAAGCATCTCAAATAAACCATTACTTTCATAAAAATCACATGAAACCTACCTATGATAAAAATAAGATAAAAAACCTACCTACTGAAAATGGTTCTCCAAGCAGGGTATCCAAAGTTATCCAACTGAGTACAAGAAATCTGATGGGCAGATTTCTTCCAACACAAAACACTTAGAGTCAACTATCCCCACTTGAACAGTGAATGAAACTATTAAACAAGGAAGAGAGTAACACTGGAAAAGGAGCTGATCCTTATCTGTGGTGGGCTACAGCCACATGAGCTTGGGTGCTGTAAATATTGATAACATATCACCAAGCCAGCCGCTTTGACACATGTCACAGCAAATAATGAACTCTCCCACTCCCACAGCAATGGCTGTCAGCTGCCAATAGTGGCCTCTCCCATCGGAGCAGTTTGACATATGCCAATCTGTGTCGGCTGACATTTTGGCAGGCACAATAACACTCCACGGATCTCATAGTGCTACAGTATTAGCCTGTTATTGCCGAGTGGTTGAGCCATGCCTAACGTCATTTAAAACATACATCATGGTTATTTTTGCTCTATATAATTTGGCGTAATTGTGGATTGTGTAAACATCCAATATGCCAAATTTGAGGAAAGATATACTGGATGTCAGATTTTAATTTGTTTGAACCTGTAAGTGCAACAAACTTCCCCTTAAAATAATGAAGCACTGTTAAAAAATAAAATTCTTCTTTGGCATTT